TGAAGGTGTTCGGCGTCGGATGCCGCGACGAGTGGTGACTCGAGCAAGAGGCCCTCGACCCGCGTGCACGGCCCACGCGCGATCGGCATCGCGCGACGCGCGTCGACGCACGCGATCGCGTCTCGCTCGCGCGACGCGGGCGAACGAGGCGCGATCGCGCGCGGCGACGGACGCCGCGCCCGTGGACGGCGCGCGCGCGCGGTGCGCGCGGTGCGAGGCGACGCGATCGGGGTGGCGGCGGCGGTGCGCGGCGTGCGCGGACGTGGACGCGTCGACGAGGTGCGGGCGGCGCGGCGACGACGCGCGCGTTCGGTCGAGGGCGCCCGCGCGTCGAGATGAGACCGTACCGCAAACACGCCAGTTCTGCTTCTGATTGAACGGTGAAGAATGGTATGGATCTGAACGCGCGGGACGCGACGGGAGGGTTGATTTTTTGGGCGAACGACGCGGCGCGTACCCTCTCACAGTGTCAGAGTGTCAAGATTCTTCGTGATTGCCACCTTGGGTGACGAGGGAAATTGAACGTCTCGGTACGGCGTTACCGCGCTCGTCTTCACGACGGCGTCGGGGCGACGGGCGAGTGACATTGTCGACGGCGATTTTTCTCGAGCGCGGCGGGACGCGTTTGCGATGATGACGAAAATATTAGATGACGAATCTGACAGCTTGCGCCATCGCGGTCTTCGCGACTGCAAGCGCCGTTTCGACGGCACATGATCCGACAAACGAGGCATTTGTCTGCAGCAAACACGGGCGTTCCCGCCGCCACTTCCTTTGATTTTTCTCCTCTTGCAGCATCCTCTGGTTCTTTTCGATTGACACTCGCTCGGCCTTCTTCAAAGCAGGTGCGGTACATACGCGTTTTAATAAAAGAGACCAACCATGTTTTCCTCGCGAACCGCCGTCGTGAGCACGTGCGCGTGATAATCGCCGAGAAGGCGAGGTAAGATCTTGTGCGAAAACGGTACGCTCGACGCGAGAATCAGAGGATACACCACCGCGAAACCAGGCGCTCGATGTACAGTCATGGAACACCCAAAGATTGCACCAAAGTATAGGAACTGTATCGCTGTGTACGCATGAATAGTTCGTTTCGTAACGTGACGCAAAAAGCGCGAAGGGACGACGTTGCCCAGAAGAGGAAGACGCGAGATCATTTGATTCGATCCGAGAGAGCTCAAGCCCATGTAGACCAAAAAGCCACTCAAAGAAGCGATGGGGATACGACCGAACGTACTGCGATACCGCAAAGTGATTATGAGCGTTATGAGGTGCGCAATGAAATTTGTGACTCTCGTCTCTGTCGCTCGCCTCACGTTCGTCCGGATGACGCCGTGCCGAGCGGACTCTGTGGTTTTGGACAGCAGCACGGTGTGAATCGCCGAGTGCGGCAATGCCGGTATGCTCGGTGGTAAACCGAATGTGGCCATCGTGATGGTGAAAATTCCCATAATGAACAAATCCCAGTTATAAGCCGATCCCTTTGCGAGCTTATTGTGTGGACGCGACGCCAACATGGCTGAAATGTTTGACTCCAACACAATCTGCACCGCGAGCACGCTCGCTGGTACGAGCGCCAGCGCTCGAGCGCTCGAGCTCACGCTCGACAGGTCCACAAGCGTCGGCCAAATCGGTAGGTTATACAACGCTGCCGATACCCTATTGACAGACACGTTTGGGAACGCGTAGCTCAGCCCCGTCACACACAAGACGGTGATTAAAGGCGCCAAGTCAGCAATGACCATTCTCAACGACATGTGCACCGCCGCGTTTCTCCGGAACTCCAAAATCTTAAAAGCCGTCAGTACGGTCCCGAGATGTAAGATGAAATACTTCAGAAACGTCGCATCGTCTGAAATCATCTCACGCATCGTCGCCATGGCGTTGAATCCGTTAAAGATGAACGTTACGGCGGCAAACAAAGCCAAATTTTCTTGCGTGAAGCGGTTGATGCACAGCATGTATTCCGCGCCATTGAGCATCGCAAACGTGAGTACCATCACCCCCGCATATATCCCGACGAAGCCGTAGAACGCAACGAAATCGCACTCGATCGATTCCGCAAAGATGCGAACGACATTCAAAAACGTCTTTATCGGTCCCGACACACGTAAGATGAGCAGCGGTTGGCCACCAAAGATCGAAAACGCGATGCCACAGACAGCCTCAGAGAGCAAAAAGTCGACATGGGTCATACGTCTGGATGAGTCGGACTGCATCGAGAGACCAATGGCGAGCGCTGGGATGAAGGTGGTGCTCGCGAGCCATACCGTGGTGGAGAGGACTCGTATGAACGTGTCAACGTTTGCCCAAGCGTCCGTCCAATCTGAGACATACACGGGCAACCGACGTCTCAAGTCTCCTACGATGCAGGATCCGACTCTTCGCGGAGTGAAACGCACGCGCGATAAATCGTTCTCGAAGACGACCGGCGGCGATATGCCTCGCTTCATGTACGCCATCACAAGTTCGCGAAAATGTTTCTCGTCTTCGCAATCCAGCGCTTCGTCGACAAAGTCACTGTCACTCAACATCGTTGCAATCGTATGAGACGTCGCGAAGACATTCTTCGTCGGTGGTTCACTCGGGTCCCCGAGCACGATGGCAACGAACTGTGGTCTATGGCGATCGACAGAGTCGACGCTGTCGTCGAGTGCCCGCATTTGCGAATTAAGGCGCGCCATAAGCACGCACCGTCGACGCTGAAAGGAAGACATTTCGTGCGGCACGACGATCGAATGTTTTGCGTAGAACGCCTGCGCGAACACGTGTCGTGTGCTTGAAGCGCTCCCTCCCGCCTCATCGTTCGCACCTTGCTCGTTGTCGTTTTCGATCGTGGCGGTGTGCTCGACGCTCGCTGTGATATCATCTGCGCTAACGTTGACGAAATACCCGCACGTACCGCGGGCCTCACGCAACATTGCCGTCGTAACGTCCTTTGCGTCGCCGCAATCTTCGAAACCGCGCATCATCAGCACGAACTCGATGCTCTTCGATGGATTGACGCGCACGCCGTCTGCGCTTAGCACCGATTCTCCTCCGAGGGCCAATAAGTCCCGCCTTGACTGCTGCTCCAGGAACAGTTCCTTCATCGGGAGCAGTTTCGTCGTCTTCCACGCCAACGTTTGTCGGCCGCGAGCGTCGCTCTCGTCGTCCGAGACGTCCGTGAGAAGCGTGGCTGTTCGTTGGCTCACGCCACGCGCGACGACGCCTCCGCGCTGGCGTTCCGTCTCCGACCACCTTCTAGCGATTTTCGACGTGGAAGCGCGCTCGATTTCGTCCGTGGTTCGCGCGCTGTCAAGAAACGCGTCGAAACGATCCATGATGCGCGCCGCGCGTCGTGGTGTGTACAGTGCACATGTTTTTGTCACAACATCGTGTGCGGTGAATGCGCCGATTACGCGTTTGCGATGTACGCGCTCTGTAACTCAGTGAGCGCCGATCCGAGATCGCGGAGCGTTATATCCGCAGAGTCTCTGTGTCGGAACCTACCCTGCGCGTCCTGTCGACTTCCCGGGAGGCCGAGCGCGGCGGTCGCCAACGCGTACTCGCGCATCAAGCCAGGGACATCGCCGATTTTGACATCCTCCACGTCGCACGCTGACAAGTGTTGGCGAAACGCCGCGTCGTTCCCGGCGAACACGTTCACCGAACTTTCGGTTTTTAATCTGTCTCGCAACGCGTTCACGAGCGCACGTGGCGACGGTCGAGCCTCAAGCGAAATGTCCAAGTACTCCATGTCGTCCACGGTGAGCCACCAACTGTCGTTGCACGCGTTCGCTCCGTTGAATCCTCCAAAGAATAAACACTTGTTTTGACTCACGTGCGTGAGCGTGTGATACGCCCGCGAGCTCGGACCATTTCCTTCGCCGCTAAAGGAGAGCTTTTGCCATCGCGCGTTATCACCATCCAAAAAGTGCGCGTCGTCGTAGTAACACCGCTCCTTGACCAACCATCCGTCGTCCCCGACGCCCCCGGTGACGACAATACTCGGCGTCTGCCCGCTCGTCGACGTCGTCGACATCACTGACATCGCATGACCCGCTCTCGCGTTCGGGGGTGAGCCACGCAGGACGAGTTTTACCCAACTCCACCCGTCCGGTTCTCCGTTTTCGTCGCGCTCGCGTTTCAGGCACCACGTGTCGTTGAACGCGCCCCCGTTCGCCCCCTGCCCACCGAACACGAGCACGTTCGGTCCATACTTCACCATCGCGCTTCCGCTTCGCGCCTCTGGCGCTGTTTTACCACTCGCCGTGGCCACTATGGCCTCGATCGCCTCTAATTTCGCCGGTCGCACGCGTTCCGTCCTCCATCTCGCCTCTGCGCCGCGTCTCGCGTCCAGCGTCTCCACCTCTCCCAACCACTTCTTCCCATCGAATCCACCGAACATCACCATCGATCCATCCCCTACGGGCGCACAACACGCGAAATCCCTCGCCGTCGTCCTCGCCTGCGTTAAAACCGTCCACGTCCACGTCTCCGAATCGAGCGTCCACGCGTCGCCTCGCTGCTCCCGTCCGTCCCGTCCGCACGCGATCGTCATCGTCGTCGCGCTCGTCGCGCACGCGCAGTGAAACGCCCTCGGCGGCGGTTGGTGCGCGGCATCACGCGCGACCGGTCGGAACCAGGCGTCGTGTAAGACGTCCAGAACGACGACGTCGTTCAGCGCACCGCCCGATGTCGAATCGCTCGCTCGGGACAATCCACCGAACACGACGACGTACCGCCCGCGATTGAGCGTCGTCGCGGTGTGTCCGAACCGCGGTGAGGGCGGTTCGGTTCCCGAGCTTCCTCGACAGGCGACCCAGCGCATGTTCGCGTCGACGTGTGCGGCGACGCGTCGGGACGACGAGGCGAACGCGCGCGCGAACAAACGAAACGCGCGCGATTTTTACATCCACAACGCGCGCGCGCGATCCGCGACCTATCCAACGACCTATCCAACGAACCCAGTGCCTCGACACCGTCGACACATGATCAACCCCGAGCCCTTACACGCCGTGCACTCGTACGGGTTCCTCCGCGTCGTCCCGAGCGCGCCGTCGAGCGCCCGCGCCGTCGCGTCCGCCCCCCCCGTCGGCGTCGTTCGCCGTCCCGTGGCGTCGCAGAACACGCACGGATCCCCGCCCGAGCCCGAACACGACGCGCACGGTTCCGGATCGCCCCTCGACGCGAGCGCGAGCGCGCACGCGCCGAGCGCGAACGTCGCGCCCGCGACCGCGAAGAGTTGATTCGTCTCGTACGGATCGCTCGGCAACGCCCGCGTCGTCGCGCGCGCGCCGCCGTCGCGCGCGCGAGACCGCGCGCGAGACCGCGTCGTCGGCGTCGACGTCGTCGCGACGACGCGCGCTGTGGACATACGCGATGCGATTCGAGGGGCGATGGTGTGACGTCGAGCCCACGCGTCGCGCCAGTCCCGCGCGCGCGCGACGGGCGACGACGGCGATGGCGACGGCGACGATGGCGCGGTGGACGACGACGGCGCGCGCGCGGGCGCCGGCGCGGGCGCGCGCGCGGGCGGTGCGCGCGGTGGTCGGGCGTCGCGCGGGGCGCGCGGGCGCGGCGCGTCCGCGCGCGGGCGCGGCGTCGCCGACGACGCGGGCGAAGAGGGACGGGACGGAGGAACAGGGCGCGACCGCGTCGTCGTCGACGTCGAGGGCGTCGATGGAGGCCGCGCGGGGGCGGGCGCGGGTGCGGGATGGGAGGGTGGACGGGCGCGGCGCGGCGTTGGACGACTATCGCGCGCGATGGGACGTTCCGTGGGACGGTGGGACGGTGACGGTGGGGATACTCGGGTGGTCCGTCGCTTTCGTTGGCGTCGCGGCGCTCGCGGGACCGGTCGCGTTGAGCGTTTTGGGGGTCGATCCGGCGTCGATGTCGGTGACGGAGCGGGCGGAGTACCTGCTCGGCGTGCAGGTGGCGGAGACGGCGACGAGTCTGGGACTGGTGTACGCGTTGTTGTCCCCGTACGCGGAGACGATTCAAGAAGAGGGTAATGATTGGTTTAAAATCGATTTCTCCGAGCCGTTTGAGCGCGAACGCGGGTGGGCGAAGTACGGATTGATCGGTTACGCGACGACGTTTCTGGCGCTCGCGGCGACTGGATTCGCGCTCGATTTCTTCGAGCGCGCGAGCGGGGGACAACAGGCGGTGGAGGCGGCGGCGAAGCAGGCGGGGACGATCGACGGCGTTTTGCCGCTCATTCAAGGGGACTCGGGGACGATGATCGCGGTGTTGACGGTGACGAGCGTCCTCGCGCCGCTCCTGGAGGAGGTCGTCTTTCGCGGATTTCTCCTCGCGTCGCTCACCAAGTGGTTACCCACCCCGGGAGCCGTGCTCTTCAGCAGCGTCTTGTTCGCCTGCGCGCACTTGGCGCCGAGAGATTTCGTGGAGCTAACCGTCCTCGGGATGGTTCTCGGTTTCTCCTACGCGCGGACGCGAAATTTGCTCACGCCAATGTTGATTCACTCGCTGTGGAATAGCGGCGTGTTGGTCGTGCTTGCGATCGCGATCAAGCTCGACGTAGCGCACGAGCTTGGTGTGCCGGGTTTCTAATTTAGCGTGTCGATGATGTTGTCATGACAAACTAGAGTTTTTAGTAGGTCTCTTCGCGTCGTTTGAACAAACAGACGAAGCAAGCTTCGCTACAGTTAAGTAGCTACCAACGACTCCCGTAGCTACGCCGTTTCACAAGGCATGGTCCTTGTGGGGCTTAGTTGCGGCTGCGGTGACTTGGTGTAAGCCGAAACCGAATAACGATTTCAGAGGATATGCTTCATCCAAAGAATGGCTCCTTTAGAAGATGCGGAACGGCGGGCCCATCGTCGTCTTGATGTACAAAGACTTGACGTTTTGCCAGTTCTTCTTCAAAAGAGAAACCAAGAAGTTGACAGACATTTGGATGTTGATGAACAACTCCTTCTCCGTCATCTCAATGTGGCCAACAGCAACGGCCAAGCAGAGAACCTTCTTGAGCTGGAACTTGATCTGGGACTTGACGTCGTTGATCTTGCTCTCGAGGGACTCGTTGTGCGTGGCGAGCGTCGGGAACTTACCGGCCTTGTTCAAACCCGGACCCAAGAGACGCGGAATTTGCTTAATAACAGACTCGGACGCGAGGAAGTGTTGGTACTTCTTCGCGAGCTTCTTGATGAGCTTCTTGTTCTTGTTGAGCTTCTTGAGCGCCTCGACGTCCATGGAGTCGATGCCGTTACCCGCCGCTTCTTCACAGTGCTTGGCGTCGCCAAGCATGCACATCTTAAGCTTCGGGCGCGGGATCACCGGCAGGTTAACCGTGCCGTTGAAACGCTTATCCTTTTGCGGATCATAGTTCTTCAAGCCGATTTGGAGTTCAACCGTCTCGACGAACTTGCGCGGCTTCTCCTTGGACTTCTCCAAGATGAAGCTCACGCCTTCCTTGAGGGTATCGGTGTTGAGCTTGCTGCGATCGTGAAAAACCCAAGCGAGGGCGATTTATCGTCAGTGAACACGCGTCGAGGCGTATTTTTCGCGCGTCGTCGTCTCGTGAACGCGCTCGCGCGCCCCCGTCGGCGTCCAATTCATCCATCCACCGCGCGCTACGGCTTCGTGCGCGATCATCCATCGCGCGCGAACACCGTACGCGACGCCTCTGAGCGCACGGCGACGTCATCGGGACGTCACGCGTAATCGCAATCGCGTCGTCCGTCGCGCGCGCACCTCATCTGTGTTCAAGCGACGCGTCGCGAAGAGGCCGAGCGCGCGGGCGCGTCGGCGGAGAGGTCGCGTTGACGACGCCTACACCCTGATTGAACACCCGCGTGTACGGTCGTCGCCCGACCGCGCCCCCACGGCGTCGCTCGCGAGACGTCGGGCGCGGACGCGAGGGATGTCGCGCGCGACGCCGGGCGCGCGCGCGTCCACCCCTGGACGTCGCGTCGAGCGCGAGGCGAGGCGTCGGCGCGGTGCGGTGTCGACGCGCGTCGCGCGTGGCCGAACGACCGCGAAGACGTTCGAGACGACTTCATCGCGCGCGACGCGGGGCGTTCGAGGAGACGCGGTGACGATGGCGTCGACGATGGACGACGGGGAGGCGCGTCGAGGGGGAGAGGCGACGACGAGCGCGTCGAGTGGGCTTCCGGTGCGCGTGTTGGTCGAGGCGGCGATGCTCGCGGCGATGACGGGTCTGTCGTTTCACATATCGTCCCTGTTTCGCTTCGACGCGTACTTTGGGGCGTTGTTTCCATTACCAGTCGTCATCGCGTGCGCGCGGTGGGGGAGCGCGGCGGCGAGAAGGACGCTCGTCGTGGCGACGCTGTTGTTGCTGTTGATTAGCGGGCCGCTGCGGGCGCTGAATTATTTCTTCCTGCACGGCGTCTTGGCGTACGCCCTGAGCGCGTTATGGAGCTCGGGGGCGAGTTGGTGGGTCACCGTGCCCCGCGAGTGCGCTCACACGGACGTTTGGGATCGTGTGCTCGCTGTCAGTTTCGTCGCTGCTGTATCGAGAAAACGTGATGAAGCTCTTAGTGACGCAGATGTACGCCCTGCTGGATCAGTTCGCCGCCAATGTTGGAGCAACGTTCGCACCGGACATCACCTGGGTCTGGGCCACAGCCATGGTTCTCATACTCGTCAACTCACTCAGCTACACGTTGATTTTGCACATGGTGTACACCATCGTGCTCAACGCGGTGACGCGACGGAACTTTGCAAACGCCCCGGCCAAGGTGTGCCGCGCCCTCGGCGTCCCGTTCTGACACCATCATTGTCCGCTGTAGTCAATGGCGTCGTCGTTCGAACGTCGCCGCCGAAGCGCTCGTCTCGCGCGGCGGCGCTTTGTTAGTTCACGTCACACCTTTGCTTTCGTCACCTTTTCGCTCCCCCGCGGAGACCGCATCCGGAACATCGCGACGCGCTTCCCCGTTCCGATGCCGCGCGCGACACCCCAACGCATGCAGCGACCGCGCGTGAACGTCGCGCGTCGCGCGTCGCGTCCGTCGGCGTCGAACGCCGCGCACAGAGCGTCGACGATGACTCGAGCGAGCGTCAAAGTCACATTCCTTCCGAGCGACGGCTCGAGCGCGATCGAGCGCGAGATCACCGCGAACGAGGTCCTTCGCACGTGTGCGCTCGAGGCAAAGGCACCGTTGTACTCCGGATGGGACTCGATGATGAACTGCGGTGGGTTGGGGAACTGCGCGACGTGCGCGGTGGACGTCAAGAGGGGCGGCGAGTTGCTGAGCGAGGAGACGGACGCGGAGAAGAGAAAGCGCAAGGCTGGGAAATTGCAGGACACGTGGCGATTGGCGTGTCAATGCGTTGTGAAGTGCGACGAGGCGGCGGCGGGGACCGAGATCGAGGTGGTGACGCGGCCGAAGAAGTAAAGCGCGTCGACTTTGTAACCGACCCAGTCGTACGACGCCACAATGTCGCGCGCGTTCCTAATAGCCTGGCTCGCCTCCGCGTGCGCGATCGCGGTGCACGTTTTTGGCACCGTCGTCGATCGCGATGGATCGAGCGCGGCGCCGATCGCATCTGCTCGGTGCGCCGCCTGCGCGTCAGTGGCGCTGGAGACGTGGAGGTTCGCGCGCGACCCGTTCTTTCGCGCAGAGGTGCGATTCGATTCTACGACGATTCGCGAGACGATGTCCTTCGAGCGCGCGAGAGACTGACGCTCGTACGCACGCAGATCGCTGACGAGGAAGCACTGAGTGAGCACGCGTTGAAGCGCGCGTGCGGGACGGAGCGTCTGCGGCGACTAGAGCGCAGACACACCGCGATCGGTTCGGCGTATTACGTCCTCGGAGACGTTCCGAGCGGTGATAGGGGTGATATCGACGCCGCGCTCGCGACGGCGTGTCGTCGGTTGCGAAGAAAACCGGAGGTCGCGCGGCGCGCGACGCGCGCGGAAGCCAGAGACGAGCTGGACGCCGTGAATCTCGCGTGCGCGAGCGCCGAGTTCGGTTGCCCGCGCGGGATCGATCCGGAACGTCCGCCCGCGTTGGATATTCGCGAGCTCGCGACGAGTCCGCGGGCGTTGATGCGGGCAGCGCCGTATTTCATCGTCGCCGTCGCCGCGCCGTTTCTGCTCTTACCATCCATCTTCCCTCCGACGCCGCCAGAGCCGGCGACGGCGACCGCGCCGAAATCCTGACCGAACCCGCGCCCTAGCGCCCACAAACCCTTACATGCATAGTTCACCAGCCATCGCTCGCGATGTCCCACCCTGACCAATCCCATCGTCGTCCGCGTCGTCGTCCGCTCGCCTCGGCTTCCGCGCGCGCTCCAAGCGGTTGGAGCGCGTCCCGCACACACCCACTCGCGTCGTCCATCGCGACGCGCGCGTTCGAGCGCGCGCGCGTCCATCGCGTGACCACGCACGCCGAGCGCACCGCCGCTCGAGCGCATCACCGCGCGCGCGCGATCGAGAGAAGCAAAGCCACTTTTTCGCGAGCGGCGGCGTCCGCTCCATCGATTTCCGATGCCGCTCGTCTCGCTCTCCGTCGCGACATCGCTCGGGACGTCGTTGATCGTGGAGATCGACCCCGAGCTCGGCGTCGCGGGGGCGAAGAGGGCGATCGAGGACGCGCACGTGACGGCGCACTCGGGCGCGCGCGTGGACGTCGGCGCGTTGCACGGATACGGCGCGTTCGCGGGCGGCGTCGGACTGTGGTACCCGGTGGACGACGCGGCGCTTCGAAGGGGGCGATTCGAGTGCGTCATGGCGCAAGTTCGAGCGCGTGACGGTGGGGGCTCGAGCGAGGACGACGATGGGTTCGGGGCTATGGTGACTCCAGAGGCGCTGCGGGCGAGGAACAAGGCGGCGCTCGCGTCATCGCCGTTGGTGTCGCCGACGGCGGCAACGACGGCCGTGCAGCCGATGGCTGTGGGACGCTCGCCGTTGGGGTTCATCGGGACGCCGGTCGATCTCGGGCGACGGTTGAGCGCGTCGGAGCACGCGACGGTGGCGGCTGCGACGGAGGCGGAGACGCCGGTTCCGTTCTCTAAGGAAAAGCGCTCGGGGAAGAGAGAGAGGGAAGTGGACACGGACAACGTGGTGAAAGAGGCGAAGAAGGCGCGGGTCGAAGAAGACAAAGATATTACTTCTTGGGAGTTGGTAGAGGAGGCGGAACCCGTCGACTTGGGCGAACCGGTAAAGCGAGATGTGGCGACGACGTATGAGGAGGTCAAGTCGCTTCTCGCAAAAAATCAAGGCTTGCAGTACTCCACCTTCGTCAAGACCCTCCTCGCGCGCAAATCATTCATAGGAGCCCTGGAGAAACTCAACATGGATTCATACGATGCGCTTGTGCGCACCATGGACGCGGTCACGGTGCAAATCGCGGCGGTTCAAGACGAGAGCGGTATTTACTCGTACACCGAGCTCTCCGAGAAAGTTGCGCAGATGCGGCCGACGGTCGATGACGACATGGGGGAATTCGTCACCATCGCCGTCTTGGTGGCTCGATTGTATAGAAATGGGTACGCCCAGCGTAAGCGCGTCCCAACGTGTCTGGTGAATGGACTGACTAGACAGATTCCGCAACACTCGAGCCAAAAGTTCGGCGTTGTCGAGCGCATGATCGCCCACGCCGTCCTCAAGGAGCTGGGATACGACGGTGCGATGCCGCAGTGGAAGGGACCGGAAGAAACTACCGCGGCGAGTGCAAAATTACACGAAAACGTGTCGACGAGCGAGAAAGAAGACGCCCACACGTCGAAAATTAACATGGAGAAACAGCTGGAACAAGTTGCGCCGCTCAAACCAGATGAAACGCGCGGAGGCACATCTGAGTCACAATCGAAATCGTCTGGAAGCTCCAGTTCAAGTTCAAGTTCAAGTTCAAGCTCCAGTTCAAGTTCAAGTTCAAGTTCCAGTTCCTCAAGTTCCAGTTCCTCAAGTTCTGGTTCTGGTTCCCAACAGAAAATGGAGGCACCGGTGCCTCAAGACGGTCAAGCCACGACGCCCCGAGACACGCCAAAAGTGAACGACAAGCGCGTACAAAAGGCGATTTCCGCTCCAGGTGGTCTTAATCGTATCCTTTCAAGCATCAACTTTGCGAATTCATCCGCTGGAGATTCGTCAAAGCAGAGCACACCTGGTGTACAAGGTACGCAACCTTCCACTCCGCTCACGAAAGCGACACCAGCACAGAAACCAACAGAGCTCGAAGTGGCACCACAAGCAGTCAAACTTCCCGGCTCCATCTCGAAGATGTCGACGATATCCATACCCAAGCCGAAGCGCAAAAAACACTCTGAAGCCGAGTACGTTGAGGTTGCGATACCGACAGATGGCTCCTTGCACGTCACGTGCAAAGATATTAAAGGTGCTTTGGCGTTGACGCATGCGGAACATTGGCTCGCGCAACACAAGGGACGCACTTTGAGCAGTCAAGTCACGAAGATCTACTCGTCAGAGGGCGATGAATTGACACCGGTGCAATTTGAGGCCAAAGCGGGCCTCAAATCGTCTGGAAGGTGGAAGAGAACCATCGCGGTTAAAGCGACGGACGGGTCCGAGGTTCCGTTGGGCGATTTCCTAGACGCGTATTTCAAGCTACCGGCACCGAGTACATAGTTGTATTAAAAATTCTTTTCTTACAGATCACTCACCCGATCTAAATTCGAGCTCGTGTGCTAAGGCTTGAGCTTGAGAGACGATTTCGTTCAGCGAAAATGTGTCGGTGACTTCGTGAAGTAGTCGTCGACGTGTGCGAGCGCGTTCAAGGGCAGCGAAAGATGTTGACGCCTCCAAGGCTGAAGAGTGCGGTTTGAAAGGCGACACCGCCAGTGTATCGATCGTCAGAGCGCGTAATTCGCGCTCGCGCTGATTCAACTGATCTTCCATGTGTGTCACGACTGCCTCGGCGCTGTTGAGGAGCGCCCGCTCGCGCTCCGCCAGCCTCGACTCAGCATTCTTCATAATCAATTCAGCCTCGCCGAGTAGTTTCTCTGCCCGGCTCGCGCTTCGTTGAACTTGATGGGTCGCGTTCACGCTCTGCATCTCAATGGTCCCAATAGCTCGCTCCACCTCTCGACGGATTCCGTCCTCGATGGCCTCCTTCTCAAGCACGAGAGACTTTCGGATATCCTCCTCTTGCTGAGCAGAAATCATCACAGACAAAGACTGTTGTGTCTTGATGCGTTCAATGTCCTCTTTTATCTGGTAGACATCCCACTCCATCGACACATCAGGTTCAGCTTCGAGAGCGAAAATTGGTGGCTCTGGTGTCGTTGGAAGCGGACTCTGAGACGTCTCTCGTCCATCCGCTATCTGAAGTACGCGCTCCTGCTCAGCCTTGACACGACTCAATTCTTCATGGATTTGCTGGATCTCACTGTCAAGATACTCGTCGCCTTTGTGCACCTGCTCCTCTATGCCTCCTCGTTCGAGAACGATTGATTTTGCTATCTCTTCTTCGAGCTCCATCCGCTCAGCCGCAAGAGATGATTTGAGAGTTTCCTCGAACTTCTTGCGCTCGAGCTCGATTTTCTTTTTTAATTCGCGCTCGCGGTGTTCTGAGCGCTCTCTGAGGGATGACTGCTCCGACCTTAACCGTTCGATATCCTCCTTGAGCTGCGCGACTTCAGCGCTCGGTGCCGACGTAGGAGGTATCACTCGCCTCGCTTCTGCTAGAATCTGCTCGCGCTCAAGTTCGATTGACTTGCGCATTTCCTCTTGCTCAGTTCGCAACTTTTCGACTTCCTGGTAGAGTGTATCGAGAAGATTCGGCGTATCAACGAAACGGTCAGGTTCGACGATGGTTTCTTCTCGAACCTCTGAAAAAATGTGACCTCTCTCATCCTCTGGAACCTCCGTGGCCTGCGTCGCTTCGAGCTCTGATACGACGCGATCTTCTAACCATTCCGCCGTGCGATGCAATGCATCGTCTTGACTCGCGACGTAACGAATGGACCTCGCTTCGTCGTCTATCTCAGGTTCGTCGATCTCTTCCTCTGACAATGTGTCAAAAGAGAAGACATACTGCGCTATGCCTCTGTTGCCTGGCGAAAGTGCCATCTCGGCGAGCGCATGCGTCATCGCCCGAGTGCGCGAACTAACTAGATCTCCAGTGCGCCCTGGCTGTTCCAAAGACACGGTATCCTCACCGATCACGATTGGGCTAGGGACGGGCTGGTGACGCGAAAGCGCGAACCATTCACGCAATACTTCCTTACCTAAAGCTAAATCATCAGCGCTCAAAATCCTCGAGCTGAAGACATCATCAGAGTCGGATCTTGAAAGCACTCCGAGATCGTCTTCTACGCGCTGCACAAATGCTTGAGCTTCCGGTGACATCGCCGAGACGCGTCCTAACGACCTGCTCGGCGAGACAAAAACGTTTTCGTCTTCATTTTCCGATTCAGAATCCACGTATCTCGAGACACTATAGCCGAAGGAAGCTCCTCGAGACATATCGACACTCGCAGGCGATATAACCATCGTCTGGGGCGTCGGGACTAAGTCCTGAGCGCGTATAAGTTCCTCGGTATCAAAGTCTGGTCTAATGGACTGCGGCGACAAGAGCTCCGCGAAGGCGTCTGCGTGCACTTCATCGTCCGTTCCATCTTCCACTTTGTCGAACAGCGTGAATAAATCTCGCATGTTCATTGCCGGATCAGACCTCTCGCTCGTTCGTTCAGCGACCACACAGACGTCGTCTTCCTTCTCTACTCTCTTTTCCTTATGGCGTTGCTCAAGTCTACTTTGTTTCTGCTGTCTCTCGCCCCACGCAGTAACGAGTACGCGAGACACCCTAGATGCTGCGGTCCGTACGGCATCTATATCAATGCGACATTGTAACACACGCGGAGATTTCATGCGAATCCCGAGAAAGGCTTTCATCACGAGCCATCCCGCTAGCCGAGCGTTTGACGCGGCTGCGCTCCGATTTTCCTTACTTGTCGCCGTTACCAAACTCATCCTCGCTCCTCGATCGACGCGCGACGCGAGTTTTTTTATCGCGTCCGCGGTCACCCGAGCACCTCTCGCCGTGATCTTCACCGTGCGCTTCGCAGTCGCCGCCACCTCTGCCCACGTCTCGCCCGGGTTCGTCTGCCGCGAAGAGTTCCCCTCTCCCACCGTCTCCTCCCTCGTAACGCCTGAATCGTCGCCATACGCCCGAACATCGTTTAACCATCTGCTTTCGCGATTGCGCCTCGGGACGATGTCCACAATCGACGGCGCGAGCTCAAGCGCGTCTTCTTCGTCGTCTGGGTCGTCGTCGTCGTCGTCGCCGAAAACTACAGGCAACGCCGTCCTTCGATCGCCCTCGACGTCCCGGCACATCGAGAACGATGATGAAGCTAGATTTTCCGTCTTTCGTCGTTCGCTATCGCGCGCGAGCCGCGCAAATCGGTCGAAAATCTCACCGTCGATGTCATCTTTCGAATCCATCCTTGAGCGATCGACCGCTCTTCAAACGCCCTCGACGACGCCGCGCTCCCTCGATTCAACCGTAATCGACGTCAAAGCGATCGAAGCGCACCTTTCGGCGCTCGCGATCGCGCCTCGACGCCCGCGCGCCCGCGTCTGCGGCTGCCCGCTCGAGGTCGTCCCACCGCTTGCCTATCGTGTATTCCATCATTTACACGCCCATGAAAATACACATTCGGCGCACATAGCGATATCACGTAGAACGTATGGGAAGTCGAACCGGCACTACACACCCGGGTGTCGATCAAAATTTCGTTTTCGTGACTTTTTGCCCCGTCGAACCAACCTGGCGACCGCGTCGGCATCGCTCGGACGCGCCGCACACCGAGGCGCCTCGCGAGGACGCCCTTGAACCTCGCGCTCGAACCAAAAAGTTTTCGTCGTTCGCGCGCACGCGCGAGCGCTCGATCTCACGCGCGCGAGAGCGTCGATAAGACGTCAACTGGCGAACCGACGCGGTTTCTCGGTAGACACGTCGCAAAGCGCGTGAAAGGACGCGTTTTCGTTCCGTGAGCGTCGCACGATCGTTCGTGGCGCGACTCGAGGACAGACGAGCCGATAAAAATGTCTTTGATCGGTGGACTGCGCTCGCTGCGTCCAAAGCTTCACTTTGCGGCGCTCACGCACGAGTTACCAGCGCTCGTGAATGCACTGGCGGACATGGGGTTGGGCACCATTGTGGACTACGCGCGGGAACATCGACCGGCGGCGGAGGCGACGGAGGTTGCGAGCGTCATCGCGGGGAGAATGAATGAGTTCCCGAACGCGATGCACGCGCTCAAGCTAAGCGCGCTGGGGAGCGAGGACGATCACGCCGAGGCGGAGCGGCACGCGCGCGTGCTGGCGATGCGGGCGAGAGAATTGAGAACCTCGGTGTGCGTTGACGCCGAGGAGAACGCTTTGCACGCGGGGTACTCGAGGACGGCATTTGATTTAATGCGCGAAGCTAATGCTCTCGCGGACGATCCAGATCGTCCACGATACCCGACGGTATTCAAGACATACCAAATGTATCGTGCGGACGCGGTTGACGAGCTCACCAAGGACATCGAGATGTCAAGGGAGCTTGGATTCGAGCTCGGGGCCAAGTTAGTGCGCGGTGCGTACCTTCGACTCGATCGCAATAGTGGTGCTTTGCTTCCGAACAAGCCCATGGTGGACAAGTCGTACGAGAGAGGCTTAGAGATTGCTCTCCAAAAGGGCAACGGCCACGTCTCAACCCTCATCGCCACGAGAAACATCGACAACATCGAGCAGGCGCTCGAGCATGAGAACAACCATCGCGTTCTCTACGCCCAACTCTTGGGTATGGACGACGACGTCACGAATCGCCTCGTCGAAAAGAAAATGAAGGTTCTCAAATACGTGCCGTTCGGAAGACTCTCTGAATTGTCCCCATACTTGTATCGACGTCTGTTAGAACGTCTCCATTGGTCCTGACACGGCCTGAGCGCCTGGCTGTGAAATGTAACTGCGCTCCACATTGGTTGTGTACACTCTAAGATTAAAACGTTCGCACTGTTGTAAATTGTAATCAATTCTTCTGCGAACTCATATACATCGTCATCTCTTCTATTCGGAGGCTTTCGTGAACATCGCACGGAAATCAGCATTCGTCTTCGGTGCGTCACCGCTCTCGGCGCGAACGGTTCGTGGCATGAGACCGAGGCCACCGCGACCTCGACCGGGACCAGTGGAGGGTACGCGTCCACCGCGCCCATGCCTTCCTCCATCACCGCGCCCGCCGCGCCCACCACGAGCTCCTTCACCAGGAGGACGGCTCTTCGCGATATCCAACGCTCTGCCTTCCAACTCCTCGCCTGAGCGCATGATGGCTGCATTTAGCGCGGCCTCTTCGGTAAAATCAACGTATGCTATCCCTCGTGAGCGACCAGTGGTTTTGTCCTTCACGATTCGTGCGCTCACAGTCCCCCCGTGACCGTTAAAGAACCCCACGAGCTGGCTCTCGGTTACGTCCCGGGAGAGATTCTTTACGAACGCCGTGCAGGCATCTCGCTTGGGGAACAGTGCCTTGACTCGTGAGTCGTGGTCCATGCCTTTGAGGTCCATGTCCACTTTCTCCACGCCCTCGGGGACGTCTCGGGATCGTTTCCGGGGCGCTGTCTCCGCGGTCGAACGCTCTTCACGTCGAGCCGCTGCGCGTTCGCGTCTACTCCCTAGTCCATTCTTTCGTACTTTTGCTGCGTTCGAAGCCTCTAATCGTTCGGTGGCGAGATCCATCTCGTACTCGTGCATAGCTTTACCATACATCATCACCTCCCCTGTGAAGAAGTGATGTCGCTGCCTCTCGACAGGTATTGTGACCGCCATCGACATGCAACGAAGTCGCGCGGACGACAACATCGCCGCTCCTGCTCTGCGCCGCTTCTTTTCTTCGATCGTCTTCTTCGACATGGTCATGGGCTCGACGATGCCACGGTGTAGCGCTAAATCGCACACCTCGAGCGCTCGATTGTCCTGCCGCAAGTGCGAAAGGTATTCGGCAAAAAGAATGTGAAACTCTACCGTACTCTTGAACGGCTCCTCCTCCTTGATGGAGTCCAGAAAGTCCAATACGCCATCAGTAAGGCTTGAATTCTCCCCTCGAACTCTTACTAACAACGCTCGTCGTGTCAAATGATCCAGGACACCGATGGCGGCCGTCGCCATGTTGTTTGCGGAGTAAGCCGCGATCATGCGATCAAACGTCCGTTTCACTTCGACGACACCACATCGCCCCATTTCAATGAGCACCGTGAGTATCTCCGCCAGATCAGTGGGATATTTGAAGTGCGTCTCGTACAGCACCTGAAAACGCAAAATTTCGTCGTCGGGCACGACTTCGATGATGAACTTCCACAAAGCGAGCGAAGACGGACAGTGCCGCAGCGCCCGACGAAGGAAGTCACACGGCGCGACGTGGCTTTTTCTAGCAGATGAAAAGCAATACGCGCCGTATTGGACCCAGAGCTCACCGACGTACGAAAAGTGTCCTAGCGCTCGCTCGTACATGTGCTTGACTCTGTCGGAGTCTCCACTCGAGATCTCGAAATCGATGTAACCCCTGAACGCTCGCAGAATCTCCACGGAGCTAGTTCTAGATGCCTCCGGTCCGAGCGCGACGCGTGCCTCGAAGGGTTCGCGAATCGACATCTCCTTCATACCGGCCGCATATGCCTTTTCGAATGTCTCCACCGCGTCCACGCCGTTTTCGCTCGCCCATTTCTTTGCGTCGGCCAGCGTTGCGTCAATTTGCACGTGCGGAACCTTCAGCTGTCGTTCATAAAGGACCGTCACGCGCTTCATCGCCATCGATCCCTCTTGTGCCGCCTCGAACGCACGATACGCCTGCCAAATTAACTGCCCGTCCACACAGCTCAATCCCGCGGACGTCACCGCGCGCTCGAACATCACTCTTCGTTCGTCCGCCGACTTCTCCAGTTCCATCATCACGCGAGCCCATCCCAAGTACAACTTGGCCGACCATGCGCCGCAGTCTTCGATCGCACGCTGAAACAATTTATCGCACTTCATCAATCGTTCCCGCTTCGCCGAGTTCCGATCGCTCAGCTCGTCTTGAATCCACGCACTCCACCGTTCGACATCCAACGCGCCCTCCGCCGCGCTTCGCTCGCGCGCCGTTCTCAACCGCTCCTTGAGCCTCGCGCTCGCGCACGCGTCGATCAACGCCGCGCACTTCTTACGATCGCGGTATTTACTCTCTTCTAACGCGCTCTCGAGCGTCATGAGCGCGTCGAGCTGTTCATCCGTCGGCATGTCGAATTCTTCTTGCGAATCAGACTCGTCGCTCTGGGACTCCGACTCGCTCGCGCTCGCGTCCTCGGAGTCTTCATCGCGTTCGACGTCATCGTCGTGATCCATCGCGTCGTCCGCCATCGCGCGTTGAATCCGCGCGTCTTCACGGGCGCGTCAGCGAGTGAGGCACAAAACAATTCGTCACCACACATCATGTCGCGCGTCGCCGCTCGCGCGCGCGTCGCACCCGCCTCGCGCGCGCGCGCGGAGACGACGACGACATGCGCCATTGAGCGCACGCGACGTGAGTGCGCCATCGGCGTCGCAACCGCGCTCGCATCGACCGTCGACGCGTCGCGAGCGAGAGGGACACAGTCGACGAGTTCGTCGACGACGACGACGCCGCGGGTGACGCGCGTCGTCGCGACGTGCGCGCCGGGAATCGCGCCCGCGAGTGCGGTTAAATCGCTCGAGCCCTTGGGGTTCGTCGCGGTGGAGGACGCGAGCGGGGCGACGAGCGCGGTGGCGCGCGACGCGAGCGGGAAGTTTAGCGTGGAGTTTCAGGCGAGCGACTCGAAGACGCCGAGCGCGTGCACAGCGCGTTTCGCGGGCGTGGTTTTGGGGTCGAGAAATCCTGCTAAGGCGAGAAACGACGCGATTCGACGGGGAGCCACGAGTGATTCGAACGGGGAGTCTTGTCGAGGCGACGCGTATCGCGGGTGCGTGGTTCGAGCGCCGGGCGGTGAAGGACTCGGCGCGAGATTCGTCAAGGCGAGCGCGCCGACGTGGGACGATCTGTCTGTTGTGCGCGTCGTCATCGCCGCGAACGATGTCGAGGACGTTGCTGGGCGAGTGTTGAAGGGGTTTGGACCGGAGGCGCGACGTTCCGTGGGGAAATTCAAGGCACCCGGGATCACTGAGTTCGCCGCCGAGGACGCGCGCACGAAATCAGCGTCGGCGTTCGTCGCGTACCCGTTGACATCGTCTTCAGCGATCGAAATCGAACCGGCGTTGCAAAGCGCGTCGACTTTCGCGGTCAAGGCGCTTCACCTCGAACTCATGGAAGGGTGTGGAGTGGTGTATCTGTAGACTTGATATATTACACGGTTTGACATCGCGCGATCTTACTGTGATGCGACGTCAAATAAGACGTCGGTTCGAACGACGTACTTGTACATCTCCCCGTCGAGGCTCGCCGTGACGGCGCTTCCCTCGTGTACTGGTGAGTCCTCCGCTTCTCCGTGCGGGAAGCAGAGCGCGGCGCCGAGGTGTGGTATAACGCCGCGAGCGCTTAGCACCCCTGGCTCGCTCGGATTGGCGGTGTAAAACGTAGTTGATCCACCGTTGAAACCTTCGGTGAGATACATGAGAAACGTCAATCTCGAGCGCACCTTTCCTTCTGAGACGTCTGTGACGTACTCACCTTGCTCGTTCAATGCGCCTTCAGGCCACGAACCATCGACGTGACGTCGGTATATCGTTCCCGGGCCGTAGCGGAAAAAACGCCATCTCGCATTTATCCCAACCGCTCCAGCGGGCATGAGATCCGAGACGCGGCTCCAAAGTGCCTTGATCGTTTGCGGCCACACGATGAATTCGCAATACTGTAATCTTGATGCTCCAGTAACGCCATCGACCTCGTACGGATCAGTTCGAAGCCCAATGGTGTGTCCGGCCGCTATGATTGCCGCACACTCGTTGGGAGACAGAAAGTTCGTCACTACGAACGCGCCACTGACGTGTGGTACGTCATATCTCTCCGGTTCAGTCAACCCCGACGGAGCGAATGGAATAATTCCTGCGTGCGCCGGCGCGTACAGCAAAAGCGGCAAACGATCCGCTGGTCTTCGACGCCCGTCATCGTCACACACAATTTGAAAACTTCCCTCTGGATACTCGATCCCCCGTGCGAGAGTCACCGAGCCCACCCCACGCTCTCTCGTTTCGTCGTCGTCCTTTTGAGCCGGCGAGAACGGAATAGCGACGCGAATCGCCGCCGTCGGACCGTGCTCCCAAGACCCCCCCGCGATCCCTCTCAGGGCGCTCTCTAGAAGGGACAAGCCTAAATCGCCGTCTACGCCCCCCGGAACCATCGCACACGCGCGAACGAGGACGTCTTTTCCCAACATCCGTCGCCCTTCGCCGTCTCTCCGCGCCATGAGCTCTAGCGCCTCGCTCAACATCCCTCGCTTCGCGCACGCGAAGAAAGCACACCGCATCGCCTCTCTCGTCACGACCATTCCACTCTTCTCCATCCTCTGCAGCACCCGTAATGCCGGTTTCGCTTTGTCTCTCGCCTGACACAACGCGAGCACCTTGACGCACGTCCCAGTCGTCACCGCGTTCCCTCTCGCGAGCGCGGCGTCGAGGGCGACGCACGCGTCGACACACGACTTTGCCATTAACGCACGAATCACCCGACCTTCCGTCGGCTCTTGTTTCGCCTCAGGGCGACCGTCGACGCGCTCGGCGTCCATATCCGTCGGCGCAGCCGCCACCTGGGCATCGGTAAGCAGACGCTCAGCGTCGTCGTCACGCTGCGTCTTCTTCGCCACGCGATCGCGCACGTCCAGTGGAGTCGACGCCTTCTTTCGGGCGCGCCTCGCAGTCTTGCCCATCGGAAAAGAACAACGTCGAGGAGTGAGGAGAAACATTCTAGATATTTGTCTGTTACATCACGAGCGCTACGAGCATTCGCCAACGGTTTCGTTGTAGGCCAGACCTGCCCTGGGGAGGTATAGCTCGCCGCCGTCGTTGCGCTGGAAGAGCACGCGCACGGTGTGCGCGGCGTCGTCACTGGAACGGAACGCGGTGAAGTGCAAGTGGGGCTCGGGCGAGAAGCCGACCGAACCGCTCTCGCAGATGACTTGACCACGCGTCACGCGGTCGCCCTTGCGCACACGCGCGCTCTTGGCGCGAATGTGGACGTATTCGACGAATAAATCGCCACCGCGGACGTCGTATTTGACCGACTTTTCGTCGGTTGCGTTGCTGGTGCTTGAGCACGCGGCGCCAGCGTTTCTCGTCGATACTGAGTCATCGGCATCGTCGAGTCGTAACACGATGGAATTCCACTCAAACAAATTGCTCACGGCGATTCCAGTCAAAGTATTCGAATCACGAACGTCCACTACAACGCCATCGCCCGCAGCGAGCACGGGCGTGCCCTCGTCGCAACGAAAGTCTACCGCGTGTAGGTTGCCCGAGAAAAAGTGCGTCAGCTCCCCACCCTCGCTTTGCGTACACAAAAACCGCTCGCCGCGGAGAGGAAACGCCACGGACCTCGAGTGGGTATCGTTCGGCGTCGGATGCATCGACCACGGTCGTACATCGCTATCTATTCTCACCTCTCGCACGTCTCTCCCGTCCAAGCGCAACCGACACAGGTGCGCCATAGCGCGCGGCGGCACCAACACCACGAAGGTCGTTACGGTCGATCTCGTTCCCCTAGAATCAATCGTCACCCCTTGCTTCAGCACTTTCCCACCTCGACCGACGCACTGGACGTCGTAGACGGTGACGTACGCGACGCGCACGCTCTCCGCGTCGCGCCCTCTTTGCGCGTTCGTCGCGCTGATCCTCGGCTCGCTCTCGCTCTCCTCGCAATCGATCGCCACGTCCGGGAACTCAATATCATCGCTATACTCGTCCAGATCGATCGCCTCGCTCCCGAGCAGCCAATCGCTCGACTTACGACGCGCGACGTCGAGACAGATGTGACAGCCGTCGCCCGCGCTCTCGACGAAACCGCTCGGTTCCGGGCGCATCGTCGACGGCGACGCGCTCACCCCGGCTTCTCGGGGCATTCGTTCTTTGACCCGACGCGCTCACGTCGCCGTCGCCGTCGCTGAGTGCGGCGCGAGCGCAGGAAAGTCGTCAGTCGCCGACGCCGCGGAAACTCGACATGTCCTTTTCGTTCGGGATTCCGCCGTCCACGGACGCGGCGTCGACGCCCGCGGCGGTGACGCCGACGCCGACGAGCACCGCCGTCGCGATCGCGCAACCGTCGACGCCCAACGCGACCGCGCTACCGCACGCCAGGGCGTTGTTTTACGAAATCGATGAAGCCGTTTCCAGAGGGTCTGCGCTTCGCGCGTCCACGGCGCGCGCGCTGAGCGACGCCTTGGGCCACCTGTCGTCGGTACACGCCGGGTACGAGCCGTTTTCAGAGTCCTCCGCGCGAGCGATCAACGGCGGGAGCGTGGAGTACGGTGGGAAGACGCTCAAGGTGAGCGGGACGAGCGCGAGCGTGAGCGCGGCGCTGGGCAAGCGCTTGGGGCTCGATGCGACGCAGGCGTACGTGATGCTTCGCAGAACGATGGAGGAGAGTGGAATGAAACGACCGAACGAGGCGAGCGAGGAGGTTGTGCGAGAGGTGATGCGTTTTTATTTCAGGGAGCGTTTGGGAACGATCAAGTGCGCGCACGCGTTGTTAACGCAGGCGGCGACGTGCGACGGTGGCGACGCGATTGAGAGTGCGGTGGGTAAATTGTTGGAGTCCAAGTTCGAGGATAACGTATTTGATGCGATCGAGCGGCACATGAGCGGGTCCACAGCGAGCGGACCCGAGGGGGCGAGCTCGGCGGATGCGGCGGCGTGGGCGGGACAGGCGCTCGAGGAAACTGTCGCGCTGCTCGAGGTGCTTTTCTTGCTCTATTACAACCGAGTGAAGTGCTCACCGCAACGTTTTTTGAAGCTCGCGTCGGTGCTGCAGAACAGGGCGCTTAGACGCGCGCCTGCGGCGGCGATCGAGTTGGAGGCACACGCACCGCTGGCGCACGTGAACGCATTCGTGGATGACATTCGAGCTCTGTGCAATGTCACCCTGATCGCGGCCATGGATTTAGAAAATTTAGTCGATCGATTTTCCGGGAAAAGTCTCAAGGTGCACGGTTTTTTGGAGCCGCATGCGCTGCAATCCATCACGGGAATGATGGAAAAGTGGCAGAGTGACACGGCGCATGGGCCGACGTTACTCGCATGGTCAACGTTTCTAACGCTCTTACCACAAGACGCTGAGTTCATGCCGGGTAACTTTTCGATTGAAATGATGCATCAAAAGGCGAACGAGTGCGGTATCGCGGCGCTCTTACGGCTACTGGATGCGGAACAGTTGCGAGGCGACGACGCCACCGTCACGTTGCACAAGAGCGTTCTTAAAAACACGTTCTCGACGATCCTCGCGGCGTACGACATGCTGCCAGTGCACCGCTTACCCCCGTCAGAGCTCGGTCAGATTATAGACGTCCTCACGAAGTTGCTCTCCGATCAGCCAGTTCTTTGTGAACAGTTTTGGGCCGGGGCCAGAGAGGACGGACAGGAAGCGCCGCTTTTTGCGCTCTTAGAGGGTTGCCGAGAGAGGTTTCCGTGCGAGTCTGTACCTCTTTTGCGAATGCTTGCGGCACTCTGCGAGGGGCATCGATCGGCAGAGTGCGCTTTATCGTATCTGGCGCAGCTACCAACGGTAGCTTTGCCGATTCCTCCACCCAATGTCTTACAACATGGCATCAGGGCGACCGCCGAAGCTGAGATGGACGTAGACGCTGGCTTCGTCCGGGGTCCGGTAACCGCCACGCATCGTCTGACGAGTTCGCTCATTCCGGGTGGGTACATCGAAGTCGGTATGCATGGACTGGCGATTGATTCAAGTTCGCAGACGTCCCCGTTGATTGTGTGGGCTACGCCCGCCGATGGTTTGCATCTTTGCCTTACGAGACTTTCGTCATTGACCAGTGCGGGTCTGAAAGGAGAATTGAGCTCAGCACAGATTAACGAGATGGATGCAACTGTACTGTTTGTTTCCAAGGTGTTGACGAATGCTCCGTCTTTTGCTCGGCCAATGCTGTCCTGCGATGTGTCCGTATCTGTCCCGAAGGGTGCGCCTGCGGACGTGCTCACGGCTCTCTCACTTGCCCTTCATGTGTGCAGTAAATCGTTATCGACGGACGAAGGGGTGCAGAGAACGGCGACAGTTCTACGAGCGCTAGTGCCGTTGGCCGCTGCTGAGCCCTCGCGCACGATTGAGGAGGTGCTCGAAGCGCCTCTGTTGTCCGGCACGCCTGGTACTGGCGTGCCAGGATTAATTCGCGCTATTCGCGATAGTGAATCTAGACTTGGTGAGTACCCGCTGACGTTGGCGTTGCTCGATCTGGTGGAGACGCTCCTTGAACATGGAGGTCTCGGTGATAGGTTAGAAGCGATCGTAGATCACACCTTGCAAGAGGTGGCAGTGCGGCACGTGCAGTGGAGGTACAAGTTCAAAGCCGAGAAGTGGCTCGTTCACTCGGGGATCCAGCGAGTGATTTACCAGATTTTCAAACCCAGACACGGCGAGTTTGCGGAAAAACTTCGTAAAAAAGCACTTTCGTACTTGATCACGGACAGAGCGATCTGCTTCGGATCGTTAGCGCCTCTCGTATACGATGCGAATGCACTGCGCAAATTGCACGAGGAGGGCGGTGCCCCACGAGCAGAAGAGGTGACGGCCCTCGAGGAAGCGATCGCTCGAGTACTGAAATCTCTTCCACTCATCGTGCATTACGCAGGTGAAAATTTCGGTGGCTTTTTGGAGAGGATGCTACTGATCGAGACGAGTAACGACGGCGCGCCGTTCGCGAGTTCGATTGCATCCTACGCAGGATATCCGTACGCGGCCGCGTGTTACCCGCTCGCCATTCCTGCGCTCGTGCCACTGTGCGCGGTGGCCACACCGACGCCCTTGACGGCCACGCTCGATAAGCGCGACCAGTATGAGATTTTGAAGTCGATGCAGAAAATGTTCGAACAGGCTGATGAGGAGCCGGATGCCGTTTCAGACGTGGCCGACTTGCTCAGCGCGGGTATCGTGAATCAACCAGAGTGGGTGAACATGATACTCATTCCTGAGGAGCCGAAGGAGGAGGCGGCTAGCACAACACCTGCGTTGCCGACAACACCGTCGCCCGTAGCGCTGCCAGCTCCGGGCACACCGACGCCTGCTCCGGGAGTTCAAGGCGCGCTGGCGCTCGCAACCGGGACGGCGACGTCGACCACCACGCTGGCACCTTCAACTTCCTCCCAGCAAGAGGAGAAACTCGATGGCGCGCTGAGCTTGATTTGGAAATTGCTTCAAGATACATCCAAGCTGCGTTCGCAGTCGCCGCGATGCTTATCGGCGTTGATGCGCACTCTCAACACGCTCTGGCGGCATCAACCACCTCTGGGCGCGGCAGTCGCCTCGCTCAAGGCGCACGACGGAGCATTATGGACGCGATTAGTGGAGTGCCTGGATGCACCGTCGCCGTCAGACGCGACGTCTCTGGCTCATAATCTCGAGACGGTCAGTTCAATCTTCTCTCTGCTCGCGATTGAAATCGACGCGTCGACTTCAGATACCGAATCTACGAACTCGACATTTGTTTCCAAGGCGAAGGAATGGTTCACGTCGTCGCGCATTACTGCATGGGTTGACGCTTCTATCTCGGGCGAGAGCTGCTCTGTCGATAGATGCGAGACGCAATATGCAGCTCAAGCGTTCGTTTTGCAGTGCGTGCTTGCCTTGGAGCGTCAAGAGATGACGGCGCAGCGAGTACCTTTGATGGCAGACGCAACCCTGCGGTCGATGTGCGGACAGATTCGAGACGCCTTGCTGGCACATCCCTCAGCGAAGGATTTGCGATCGTCGGGAGCGAGTAACGTGGCGATATTGGAAGCTATCGCTCAAGAATCGGCCGCAAAGGCCCCGGGGTCGATTATTTCAAACGATCCGGTGCACAAGTTACTAGTCGTTGCTCGGGAGATGCATGTCGAGGCCGCGGTGCTCGCTCCCGCTCCACTTGGAATTACTGGCGCTGCTGAGTACGGGGAATCGTATCTCTACGATTCTTCGTGGATTCGCATCGCCTCTGGTTGCTCGGAAAATGACGTGGACGAGCAGTGGGGTGCACCTGAAGGCGTTCTAGCGCAAGCAGGACGCGTCATGAGCGGTAGACTCGCTGAGACGTGCCTGAAGTCTTCAGTCGCCGACGCGCGCGCGGCAGCGATTTGTTCCTTGAGGTCTTTCATCTCGGCTGCAGGGAGCGGCGAGCTGCCGAAAATGCACGCTGGAGTGTTCGAAATCCCGGGAATGGGAGCGTCTAGGAGCGTTCTAGATGGTTTGTCGAGAGAGACCAGAAAGAAGCTTGTGCTAGATGTCGCGGTACGACTCAGCGCCGTCATGGACACCGACAGCGCCAGCTCGCCGGCGTACGTCAGCCCGTTGGCGATCGAGTTGGCTGGTTTATTGGGTGTCGTTACACAACTCTGGAGCGTCTTAGTATCGCGCTCGACCACTCCGACGCCCTCGGAGGACGACTTGGAGCCCGTGACTCGAGTCATTAACACCGTGACGACGATTTTAGCGTCTAGAATGAACTCGTCGGGGACACCGATCCGTGATGCGGTTCCGCTCGTCCATCCGTTGTTGACTGCGATGCTGTTTGCAATTCGAGCGTGGGGCGCGGGCGCACTCTCGGCTCGCACGGTGCAGCCAAGCTACGAACTCGGACAGAGCACGATCCCGCTCATTCCGCTCATCTGCCACGCAGCGGCGACGCCCAGTGAGGCAAAGAGCAAAGCGACGTCCAGCGTATCGTTGATGTTGCTCGAAGACATTGCGAGAGATTTACTTCCGACGTCGGCGCTGTTGCAAGTACTCAGCGCGCACAAGATTCTTCCGCCGCTCAAGGTGGCAACGGGAGATGATGATGCTGACAGCGTCACCATCGCCGCTCTCAACACATGTCTGAGTTTATCAAAGAGCGCACAGGGCGCAGAAATCTTGCTCGCGTCAGACACCATTCGTCAGTTGGCTGTTTTATGCGTTGAATCGAAGGACGTCAAGGCGAGCGGTGAGGGTATGGCGCACGACATTTACTGTTCCTCCTTGCGAGTGACTGCAATGCTCGCCGGGGCACGGCGAGATGCCGAAATAGGCGCGGACTTGATGCGTTTCTGCACGGCGTTGGAGACTCGTTTGCTCGCCGCGATGTCGCCGAGTGAGATCACGCTCGCGTCCCTTCGCGAAGCTGAGATTACGGCGCTCTTCTTCAGTCGTCTCTCGTCGTCGTTCGGCGCGCAGTGGCAGGTGACGTCGCCCGAGGCACAACTGCGATGCCGCGTCGCGTGTGCTATGTTTCTCCGATGGATCGCTGCCCCGCAAGTCGTGAACGGATTGCGTTGTCCTCGTCATACAAAGGCGAACGAAGCGATGGCAGCCAAACCCCCGGCGACGCGCGCCCGCCAGGCATGGTTCCAAGCCACGGCGAGAGGCGACTCGGTGCGAGACCCGAGCTCGCCCCTTCTTGGCACCGCCATCGCGGGCTCCCCGATCGCTGACGCAAGCACACGGAAGACTGGAAACGCGTACTCCGAATCGGTTGCGTTGATGCTGTACCGCGTCGCCCGATCGTCGTGCGAATTCCTCGCCACCTTTCCCAGAGCGCTCGACGCGTGCGCGCTCGGTTTCGACGTCTGCGCGAGCGCGCGCGACCAGTGCGACGCCATTCTCAAAGACGACCTCGGTTCATCGGCGCAAAACGACGATGAGAAAATATTAGCGCGCGTCCTCGACGGCCTCAGATCCGCCGTCGACGCCGTCGAGGCCGTCGAACGCGGACGATAGAAGACGGAATGTAACGCCGCACCGAAATCACCCATCGGCGCGTTAAAAATCCCACCGACGGCTCGCGCGTCGCCACGTCGGCAATCTTCGAATCTTTCCCGTGATCTCGCCTTCGGGACCACTAAAATTCACATCTCGCGTCGCCGGGACGAATAGGTTTTACATCGTGTACCGGACCCGTATTGTAATATACACGAGATCCATCTCTGTCGCCCGCGACGACGACGCGCGCACGGCCGCACGACGACCGAGATGGGCCGAAACGGATCGTCGTACGAGGCGCCCCGACACGCCGCGCGCGCCTCGCGCGACGTGCCCGCGCACCGTCGCGCGCGCGCTCGGCTTCAGGGCGACGCGCGATGCGGGCTCGCGGCGCGAACGCGCGCGACGGAACATCCGTCGTGGTCGTTCGCGACGACGGGCGCGACGATGCGCGGGGCGCCAAGGGCCAGGGCGCGAGCGGATTGGTGCGTCGCGAACACGCGGTCGCGGGTCACGAGCGGCGCGCGTGATGTGTTTTCGACGCGTCTCGCGAAGGGCGACGGCGAACGCGAGCGAACGCGCGCGTGAGGGAGGTGAACGCTCGGAACGATTCGATCATCGACTGACCGTGGACCCGTGGTTGGTTTAAAAACGTCGCGCAGGACGCAATCTTCGCCGCTATTCCAGAGAATGAATTGCGCTCGACGGATAACGCGAATGAGAAAAAGATGACGCACGAGAAGCGGACGTCGAAGAGACGAGAGGGGGAGCGCGAAAGTGCGGAGGCGCGAGCGAAGACGAACGCGGCGGCGTCGACGCCGGTGGTGAGCCAAAGAAGGGGAGAGGAGGGACGGAAGGCGACGGCAAAGGTGGATGCAAAGGGGAAGGCGCGTGAGCCGCTGCCAAAGCCCGAATACACGCCGCAGTGCCCGCGGTGTAAGAGCGAGGACACCAAGTTCTGTTACTACAACAATTACAACATTAAACAACCGAGGTTTTACTGTAAAGAGTGCTGCAGGTACTGGACGGAGGGTGGCTTGCTGAGAAACGTGCGCGTCGGTGCCGGGCGCAGAAAGAGCAAGAGCGCAAAGGATAAAGAAGCGGCGAACACGGTGACGGACAAGCCGGCGGTCGGTGACGACGCACTTGGAGCGAAACGATCCAGACGAACAGGCGATGACAACCGAGGACGAGAGAAATCGGCACGAAACCAGAAGCGCGATGGAAGCTCGGACGGGAGCGCGACGGAAGCCGAGCAAGGCGAAGGGACCTTCGAATACGCCAGGGGATTTCCTCACGGGTCGAACACGGGTTCTGACACGGCTGTGCGAGGTAGATCGCCTCCGGAGGAGCAGGGCAGCGCCGAGGGCGAGGGTTCCCAGAGACCGGGAGATCACATGCGCTTCCTCGGCGGGTGGGGCATCGATCCATCCGTCGCCAGATATGTCAGCACTGGTCTGTTGCCGCCGAATGACGACGCGATTCAGGCGCAAGCGGCGGCGGCGGCGGCGGCCTCAGCTGCAATCTTGAACGAGGCTACGCGTTGGGGTATGCATTTCTGGAACAAGCAAAGCACCTTTCCGTACAACATGCCATCAAGCTCGTCGACGTCAACGATGAGCGAGTTCCCAGGGAATGCGCAGGTTGGTAGAGGCGGAGTGCCGACTCCGATCGCCCTTGCGGCACTGAAGTGCGAGCGAGTCGCGCAACCGACACCGCTGCATCCGACAGCTGCTGCTGCTGCGTCGACTTATGGTACCGTGCCGCGGACACAGGGCACGACGACACCAACGACGGCAGTGATGCCATCGTCGCCTATGGCGATGCAGTACGTGTCGATGTTCCAGAATCCTTGGGCGCAATTCTGCGTACATTCGGATAAAGGGTTCCAAGCGAACCCTGCGATGTTCCAGGAAATGCAGCAACAAATGTTTAACCAGCAAATGGCGCACTTTATGCAGTTACACGGAGGAATGTTCCCCACGTTCGGAGGTTTTCCAGGCGCGCCGCAGCCACAGCAGAGTACACAACCACAGCAGCAGGAAGGTAAAAGCGAAGCAGAGCCCTCTGAGCGAAGACAAAACACTAGCAAATAATTTACAAAACGTCGAGTACAGATGTGACGCGAATATTTGATATCTCCCATTCTGTGGGCAGATAATATCATGACTCTGCAAGCTTCTGCTTGAGGAGTCACGCTGTACAACTAGCAGCGCGCACAGAGCACACTCACCATTACCGTTACATTCATCCATAACCCATCAAAGGGAGATGTCGGTTTGTAATACATTTTAACGCACTCTTTATTTGCTACAGTTCGCCGCCACACCACCCTCGTCGTAGTCACACGTCACCGTGCCGAGCATGACTTTACAAACGCGATTCTACTGTGGTATATATGCACGATTCTATACATCTGAAGACATTGTTTGACCCGTTTCGATGAGATACGGTGCACTTGGATTCGTGGACCGGCGCCGCTGCTTGAAGCAGTACAGATTCATGCCAGCGCCGACGAGCGCGACGGCGACGACAGTCGCGTACATGGCGTACATGACGTCTGGCGTCAAAAATTTGATACCAATCGCACTGTCGGCACTGTGCTTATCCTGGATGAGCTTGGCGCCGGTGACGACCGCGGCAGCGGCAATGCTTATGACTATTGGCCCAATCACACGATGTGCGAGGAACCACGCAGGGCGAAGCGACGTCGGGATGAACCCGAGGCGGTTGCCGCCAGTCTTGTTCGGACGAAGCACGCCCAAGGAAATTTGTGCCACCCAAAGACCTATCGTGCCCAGAGCGAGCGTGTAATGCGTGTCTAGAAGCGACGACTCTCCGTGATCCTCGCGCCCGAGCAAAAGCCCTAGTGCAATCGCGAAAATGAGCGATCCGATCGCCGCGCCCAACATGTGCAACTTGAACCACAACCCATCCGGCAAGGCATTCTTCACCAAAGTCATCGCACTCGCGCCCGGCATGAAAATAACCCACGCCATGACCATCAGCACACCATGAGTCACGTCTCGCGTCAACGTCGATGTCGATGACCCAGAACTCGCCGTCGAGATCCCCGTGATGTCGGCGCTCACCGTCCCAAACGCCGAGTGCTTCCCCGGCCACGCCGACGTCTTCATCCCCCAAATGAACGTCTCTGTCCCAGGCGTCGCATTCTCCTTCGTGTACCGAAACTTCAACGTCATCCCACTCGCATCGGTGGTCGTCGCAAGCTCCGTAATAGAGCATCCCGCTGAGCACATGGTCGAAGGCGTCGCATGGCTCGTCAACGTGTACGCCTTCGAGCTCGCGCCGTTCGCCTGACCCACCGAGACGACCGCCGACGACATCGACGCCCCGGGCCCAAACGACGCCCAACCCGCCGATCCGGGATTTTTCGTCCCGGTAAACGTCGCCTTGACGTAATGATCCACGCGCGAGACGTCCGTGGAATCGATGGCGGAAAACGCCAGGTCGATGCCATCGACGACGTTGGCGTAGACGCACCATGTTAACCCGTCCGTAGCGTCCACCGCGCACGCGGCATTGACCGTGACCGCGGGTCCGGACGATCCGTGATCGTCGTCGTCATCGTCGTCGTCGTCGTCGTCGTCGTCGTCGTCGCCGCCGTCGCCCGCGACGCCGCGCGACGCCGCGAGCGCGAGGAGCGCGCACACGAGTGCCAACATCGCGAGCGTCATCCACCGAGGCTTTCGCGTTCGCGTTCGCGTTCGCCTCGCGCTTCGCGCGCCGAGGGCGGACATGATGAGTCGAACGGTATTTTTGAGACTCTTTATCGCAAGAGACGCGGCAGATGGCGGTCGCGCGAGGTGCGAGGCGAGGAATAACGCGTCAAAACAAACGCGCAAACAAACGTCCACGTGGAACAAATATGCGCGAAATGCCGGTAGATTCCTTTTGGAACATTGGCGGCGCAGCGCCGAGACAAAACACTAGCAAATAATTACATCGAGTACTTTCAGGAGGCACGCTGTACAACTAGCGGCGCGCACAGAGCACAGTCACCATTACCGTTACATTCATCCATAACACATCCAAGGAAGATGTCGGTTTGTATACATTTTAACGCTCTCTTTTATTTCTTCTTCGACGCGAATCGTCCCGTTTTCACCGCCTTGGCGCGTTCTAATTTTATCCGCAGTTTCGTCGCGAACATGTCAAGCAGAAGCTTGCGACGAACGGTAACAAATACATTCGCCGTGGAGAGCAATCCCTCATTCACCGCGTTCTCCGCAAACTTACTCAAGACGCACGCAATAATCATGCCGATCAAAACGTAAGCACCGAAGAAGATAAACGTCGTGAAGTAGAGCGCTGGAACGAAGATGTTGCTACAGTTCGCCGCCACACCACCCTCGTCGTAGTCACACTTCATTGTGTCGAGCATGACTCTTTTCCAGTTATCCCTCGTGATGACGCGAAGAAGTACCATAAGCGACGAACCAAAATTGCGAAAGTTTTCGACTCGCCCTCTTGGGTAGTTTGTGTCGTAGTCTCCAAAGATATTCATCCCCAACACGGCGTAGACAAACATCAACATGACGATTAAGAAGAAGATGTGAGACACGCCCTCGAACGAACTTACGAGCGTGTTGAAAACCGCACGAAGACCCCTCGCCTGTTTGAATAACCGAAGGATGCGTCCCAGCCTGACGACGCGAAGCACGTTGGTGCCGACAAAGTCCACTCCTGCGAGGTCTGGAATGCTCGCCACGACTACGATGAAATCGAACACGTTCCACGGTTCAGAGAAGTAGCGCTGCGGTAAGAAAGCACAGAGTTTCAGTGCGAGCTCCAATAAAAATATCCAAGAGAAAAATATGTTGGCACTCCGCTGAAGTTCCGCGTAGAGCGCCGGTTGATCGTTGTGGTACGATGCCATCGTCACCGTGTTAGCGATGATACAGAAGATGATGAAGTTCTCAAAACGAGGGCTGGTAACCAGCGAAAACGTTGATTTTCTGAGGAAGAATCGTGGCCCAGCGGCGTCCGAATCATCCACAACCTTCAACTCCGCCTCGTGCTTCTTCATGCGCAAGATATCTGACCATTCTCTCTGCTCTTCCGAAAGAATCATCGACGAACCACTCAATTCGTCCGCTGACTTGTAGTGGTGGCAAACGAGTGCAACAATCATGCTCGTCCACACGAAGGACACGATGACCATGAAGGTCAGAAAGTAAATCGCACTCCAGCCATTCTTATTCAACGACGGTTGCGAATCCAGAGCAGTCGAGTCCATTCCTTGGAACGCGATATCAATCCATCCATCCCGAGTGACCACAACGAAAAGAGTGAGGATGGAAATGAGAGTGTTGTCAAAGTTGAGCGGCGGATGTAACCACTGCCGGGTAATGTGTGCCCCATTCGCGTCGATGAACGTTCCTACGCACGTTTCCCTTCCGAGAGCTGTTGGGTCGTTGCAGTAATCGAACTTGCCGGCGAAGAGTTGCGATCCTAGGATGGCGAAAATTATAAACTGGAACAGTCCCAAGCACAACACGTTGACCAGTTCCGGTGAGATGTGGACCAGCGTCGCCACGGCAATTTGCATACTTTTCATCCTATTCAGCAAACGTAAAGGCCTCAGAACTCGGACAAGTCTGAATGTGCGCATGAACTGCAGCTTGGATGCGTTCGCGGAAACTTCAACTACGATAGAAACTAGAACAATGATGAAATCCAAACAGTTGGCGTACGATCGAAGGTACGCGCCTGGATGCATCGCGAAACCCATCGCGAAGATCTTGATTATGGCCTCAAATGCGAAAATCAATGTGAAAGAGACGTCTGCCGATTTCATGACCTTCGCCAAATCGCTATACGGATTCACTGTTGGCGCGGATACGGCAAGCTGAGCACAAGACAACAAGATGATAAACAACATCAGCCGCTCGAACACCTTGTGCTTGATGAGCATGAAAACTAGTCGCCGCATCGGGAGTCTAGGCTTGAATATAATGAGCGATGGATACTGCATGCACTCTTCATCCGTGTTCGCTCGAGATTTCTGGAACCAATGCTCCTCTGCGATTCGACCAGCAAACTTGCCCATCTTCGACTTATCGACGACGATGTCACGCACTGGCAATCCGGAGGCTCTCCTGACTTTTCCTGCGTTCAAATCCTCTTTGATTCTCGGCAAGCTGAAGTCTACTTCGAGTATCGGTGGCATTTGCGTGTACTCAATGATAGGCATGAGAGTGCTTGACCTATGTACAGTGTCCCCTGTCGTCTGTGAATCGTACGAACGAGAATTGTGCGGACTTCCTGAGGATCGTTGAGAGTTCACATCTTGATCCGACGTGTACTCGATAACGGATTCAGTTATTGGTCCAGTTTTTGGTTTGTCTAACTCCCTGAGAGACTCTGAAATCGATTTCTTGCCCGCACTAGATTTCCTGGCGAGAGATCGCCAGACTGCGCCTCTCCCCGCGGGGCTGTCGGACGACTCTATCGGCTGTAAATCTGAGGAATCATCCATGTCAACAGCTACCTGTTGCCCGTGCCTCTTAATATTCTTCTTCTCCTTATCGTCCACGGCAGCATTCTCGACCTGCAAGCTGATCAAGTTTGCGTCTGCAATGGCCGCCGCACCCTCCGCGCTCATCGCCTCGCCTTTGAACTTGCCAATGTGACCGGTTTTCTTACCCTCCGCCCGCCGTTGCGCGATAACCGCCGTCTGCTCCTTCGGCATTAATCTCGCTTCCGCGCTCTTGACGACAAAACCTTTTGCGGACGCTTGCGAAGCCCATGCGAGCGCCTCTTTAGTACCTCCGTCGGCGCTTCGTTCTAACAGGCTACGTCGAAGCTCTGCGAGCGCGTTCTCCTGCAGTTTTCTCCGCGCGTTCATCGCATCCCTGGTCATGGTATCAGTGAGTTCTTCGCCATAGTTATCTCGAAGCGCGTTGGCATCCATTATGTTGACGTCTTCATCGTCATCGCCTCCTTGCTCCACAGCTGAGTCGATCTTCCACTGCCGGTAGGCCCTCCGCACCTGACGGTCATCCGTCGGGATTGGAACGCCATTGGCAACGTACAACGCAACCTTCGATCGTGTCTCTTCGACCATACGAGTGGTCAACTCAGCCTCTGGAGCACCGTCGTCGTACGCCGACTGCGAAGTCATCACATCGCGATTTTTTTCCAGTTCGTCGAGGACGTCACTATTTTGCTCGCCTTCACTGCAATCGCTGTCGTCGTCCAAAATCCCGGTTTTTTCTAGCCATTCTTCTACCACAACGACCTCTCGTCTAAAATTGCGTTGCTTGCGTAATTTCATCCTCGACATGATACGCTGTCCGTCAGGATGGCGACGGACTTCGTTCGCAGTGTAAAACGTTGCATCGCTATCTCCAGAGCCTTTCTTGCCTGTCTCTGCTACGACTTCGCTCGCTTCTCGAGCCGAACTGGACGACAACGTCGCATTGATGTAGTGTTGCCGCTTCATTTGAGCATCTCTGCGTTCTTGCTCGGACGCCCGCTCCAGTAGCTGCTGTTGTTTAAGCTCCTTGTCATGCGAAGCTCGCTCAAAGGTTTCAATAAGCATCGCAGTGACAAGATTCAGCAGCACAAACGACCCGATGAAAGACCAAAGAATGAAGAACAACGCCGCGGATGCGCCGTGAGACGTTTCCATCGCGGTCAGCGCAGTCTTGTACCAGCTCGCCCCTGTTAGGATTTCGAACACAGTAAGAAAACTATCGCCAAACGTGTTGAAGTTTGGTCGTACGTTGTAAAATTCAGGCTTTCCACCAAACAACTGCGTGCCCAAAACTGTGAACACGAATACGAACACGAACAGTAACCCACAGAAGCTAAAGATTGAGCTCAAGCCCTCTAATGCGATGTCGATCAATCGACGAATATTTTTGTTTCGTGCGATCAGCCGCGTTGCGCGCAACACCCGTAACAGGCGGAACGCACGCGCAACCGCAAATGAACTATTCCCGAACGCAACCTCGATCAAACCAGCTATGACAATCGTCGCGTCGAATACGTTGTATCGATCCCGCACGTATCCTAATATTCCGTTAGCGAGCACTTTTAACACTAATTCGACACAAAACAAGCATAAGAAGGCGTAGTGACAACTGGTGAGTATCGTCTCGACTTGTTCGCTCATGTCGCGATATTGAACGGCCAGCAAGATGGTGTTTGCCACGATCGCCACTGTGATCGCGTTTTCAAAATGATGGTGCTCCACGAGTTGCCGCAACGGTTTTTGGTACGCCAGATCCTTTCGCATGAACTCTAAAAGGTCTTTACTGATGCGCTCTCCGTAGCTGAATTCGCCTGGTCTCCTACTTGCCACGCGCTTCACGTTCCGCGCGCTCATCGGTGGCGTGATTTGCTCATACATCTCTCCGTCAGCCATCTTCGCATCTACTATGGCCGTCTGTCGATATTTTGTCGCAACAGCTGCAAGGACAAACGATGATATGAAGACTGCGCCGAACATGACGGCGAGCAAGAAGTAAATGATGACCATCGTTCGATCACCCGTCCCGTCGATGACCTGATACATGAGATCCACCCATCCGCGCAGAGTCAAGACTCTGTAGATGATGAAACTAGCGCCGAGAATGTTGTCGAACGTGGTGTGGCCATTATCGAACCCGGTGAGAGACGTGGCGACACAAATTTGCGACGCGCCGCACGTGTGCCCCCCACTGTTCACCGAACACGCTACGTCGATATCATACGCGACGAATTCACGCGTGCTCTCGTGCATACATCGCCCGTTCAGCGTGCCCGCGAAGCGCTGCACCCCGAGAATACCCAAAACTATAATCACGATGACGACAAAGAACAAGACGTTTAGCACCATGCCCATCGACGCAAACGTGGTCGATACGAACACTCGCATGCTCGAGAAACTAGATATCGACTTCAGCGGACGCAGCGCGCGAAGACCCCGAACCGCCGTGAGCCCTCCACCCGAACGACCCGACACCGTGAGCCCGAAGGATATCCAACCGCCGACCACTATGAGGAAATCCAACACTCGCCAACCGTCCCTCAGATACACGTCCACGTCGGGCGGCCCGAATAGAAAATTGTTCGCAACCACCTTAAGCGTGAGTTCGAGCGTGAAGATCGCTGTGAAAACCGTCTCCGCGACGTCCAGGCCTTTATTCCACGAGCCTTCGTCTTCCAGCGGCTTGTACAGCGCCAACGCGACGCAGTTCGCGATGATCGTCGCCAGCGTCACCCGCTCGAACCACACCCACGCGATCAGTCTCCGCGCGTTCCTCCGCACCGCGCTCGTCGACGGAAACAAACACAGCGACATGTCGCTCTCGTTCATCGCTCGCCACCATCGTTTCACCCGCGCGCTATTCCTCACGAAGAAGTTCCCACGTTTCGCCGCGGCGTACTCCGTCTCTCGAACCGCCCTCGCCGCGCGCGCTCTTCGCAACGCGCGTTCATTCTCCATGGAGTCGTCCACGAACGTCGCCTCGACGTGCGCGCGCGTTCGCCGTTCTCCCTCGCGCGCTCGCGCACCGACGAACGGTCGCGCGTCGTCTCCGCCCCCTCTCGACGCGCGCGCGACGTCTCAACCGCCCGCGCGTCCCGTCGACGCGCGAGCGACTTTTTCCACCGCGCGCGCGTCGCGCGCGCGCGGTCGACGGACGCGCGTCGACGTGTGCGGCGCGGCGAACGCCCGCGGCTGGAATCATCGCGACTCTTCGTCTCGTCGCGCGACTCTTCGTCACGACGCGACGCGTCGGTGCGGACGACGCGACGGATGCGCGCGCGGGCGAGCGCGAGGGTGGGTTCGACGGCGCGCGCGCGCGCGGCGTCGCGCGGACGACGCGTCGTCGCGCGCGCGGTGGGCGGGAGAGAAGACGCGCTCGGTGGGCAAGATTTCATCTACTCGCAGCGGAGCGGGGTGGAGGAGACGCTCTTCAAGGGGGTCGTCCTCGGCGTCGACGCGGACGTGGCGAGCGGAGAGCACCGAGAGGGGGGGTTTAGGTCGTTTGGGAACGTTGAGGGTGAATTTTACGTCCCGGAGCGGTTCATGGAACGGGTGGCGACGCACGTGGCGAAGAACCTGTTGGCGGACAGGGACGGTTTGCGGAGCGCGAAGCCGGCGGTGATGTTGGGGATCTGGGGACACAAAGGGTGTGGGAAGACGTTTAATGTGGAGTTGGCGTGTAAAAGGATGGGGTTGATGCCGATCGTGACCTCGGCGGGGGAGTTGGAGGACGGTACGGCGGGAGAGCCGGGGGCGATGTTGCGCAGGCGGTATCTCACGGCGGCGAGAGCGATGCGAGAGACGGGACGGTTGAGTTGTTTGATCATCAATGACATCGACGCGGGGATCGGACGGTTTCGAGACGACCTCGGAACGGTGAACAACCAGATCACGCACGGCACGCTCATGAATATTTGCGATAATCCGACGCTGGTGAGCGAGGGAAACGCGTGGCGACACGATGCCAAGATGACAAACGCGCGCGTGCCAATAATCGTTACGGGGAACGATTTCTCGAGATTGTACGCCCCGTTAACGCGTGATGGGCGGATGGATCTGTGGATGTGGGAGCCGACGAGGGACGAGCTCGCGAAGATGCTACACGCGATAACGAAGGATGATGGATTGTCCGAGAAGGATTGCGAGACACTCGTGGACACATTCCCGCAGCAACCGCTCGACTTCTTCGGCGCCATACGAGCGCGCGTATACGACGACGCTGTACGTGATTTTATTCTAGACGTTGGATTAGTGGGTATGAACGAAGCCCTGGTTGGTGGTGTGGAGAGTAAAAGGAAAACTCTGGGCAAGGTGAACGCCTCGCTTGAGCGACTAATCCAAGCCGGCCACGAACTGTGCGAGGAGCAAGAAAATGTGAGCAATATTCAGCTCGCTAGGGAATACATGCGCTGGCAAGACCCAGAGGATCTCGAGCGAGCGCGATCGTTGGAATCCGCGGCTCGCACGCGAGGTCCACCGACGACGTATGAACCAGACGAGACGGCAGTCGCGATGCGCGAAGAAGCCAAGGCGACAATGCGCGCCGCCACGGCGGAGCGAGCGCGAACAGCGGGCCCGGTGGCCGTCGAGGAGGTGGAAGAAGGTGAAATTGAAGAAGTCCCTTGGCGCGTGGAGAACATCGGTGAGGCACAGCGCCTGTACGAATCAGGGACTCCATGTTTTGACATTCGTCCGCTGAAGGATTTCAACCGCGAGACGCTCAAGGGCGCCACCTCCATGCCGGCCGCCGTGCGCACCGGAGGCATATCAGATTTTGTTGATACCCCAGCAGTGGACGCCATGCTTGCCGCGATCGCCGCCGACAAAAAGTACGAGAAGACGTCCACCGTCGTCGTATTTCACGGCGCCGAGGCTTCTGAAGCGTATCGAGCCGACGCCCTTCGCGCCCTGACCACCGTCTTCGACGACGTCATCGAAGTCGAGGGCGGCTTCCCATTTTATTTCAAGCATTTCACCCCGGGTGGGAAGCGCCGCCCTCGATACGTCGGCTACGGCGCCGAGAACGAGGAGACGTTTTGGACGGCTAGCAACTAGCGCTTGATAATTTGTACAACGCGCGAGCGCGCAAAGCGCTCCAATCCATACCGCATCCCGCGACGCTGCACTCCGCGCGCAGACGACCACGAGTTCGATGCACGCCCGCGTCGTCTCCTCGACCGCGCATTCTCGGTGTTCCACGTCGAACGCGAACGCGAGCGCGCGTCGACCGAGCTCTCGAGCCGCCGCCGCCGCTTCGAGGTCACTCAACTTGATTCGTCTCTCCGTCGCCGCGCGAGCGACTGGCAAGGGATACGACAGCGCCAAGGACGCAGAGGAAGATTTATTGTTCTGGAACGAGGAAGACCTGATCGATGACGATCCGGTGACGATCGAAGATGACGACGAGGATTGGGACGACGAGGAGGACGAAGACGACGACTGGTTCTTCGTCCCGGAGGGGGCGAACGTGCGAGCGGTGGACGAAGATTTGTTCAACATAGAGGATGAGGACGACGGTGCGGGATACGTGATGGATTATGTGCGAGTGCCGACGCGAGGGGAGAGAGTTGGGTCGGACGATCGTGGGGTGAACACGTCCTTGAGGTCGCCGCGGAAGAATCCGCTCGCGCCAAAGGCGGACGAGAAGCCGAAGCGCGTAGTTGGTGAGAGTGGTAACATCGATGCGAAGAAGGAGAACAAGGGAATGAAAAAGGAGGAGGTCGAGCGCATGGTGCGCATGGGAGTGCCGCGCGATCTGTTGTTTGCAATCGAGGAAGAGAAGAAGGAAATCGAGTCCTTCAACAAGAAGAAGGAAATCGACGCGGCGAAGAAGACGCACAAGCGCATGACCATCGTCGCCGGAAAGTACGCACGTCGTAAATTATTATCACCGAGTGGTCTAGACACACGACCGATGATGAGCATGGTGCGAGGGGCGACGTTTGACATGATGTTAAACTTTCTTGGTTCGCGTAGCAACGTGCAGTTTCCGCCGAACTCACGATGGCTCGATCTCTTTTGCGGCACCGGCGCGATCGGCCTAGAGTCCATCTCTCGAGGCTGCGTCGAGGCGCACTTTGTTGAGATGGACCCGTGGGTGATCAACAATTGCACCAATAAGAACATCGCGACGCTCGGTGTACAGAAGCAGACCACGACGCACTGCGCCAGCGTGCAAGCCTTCATGAGTCAGAACCACAAGAGCGCGCGAGGCGTCGGCGGTGCGTTCGATTTTATCTCATTCTGCCCGCCGTACTACAAGGTCTCCTACCCCGAGCTCTTACTCCAGCTCGACGAATCTGCCTTGATCAAGGACTCGACGGTCTTAATCGTCGAGTACGCCTCTGGGCAAGCGAAGGACATACTCCCGAGCATCGGCAAGCGCCTCCGTCGCGTCCGCGACCGCCGCTACGGCCGAACCTTCGTCGCCCTCTACGTCTGCGACGGCCGCGACGTCGACGTGGACGACGACGACTTCGAGACGCCCACCAAATTCGGCAAGCCCGTCAAGAGCCGACGCGACGACGACGACAACGACGACGACGACGACGACGACGACGACAGCGTGTAATCCACCGCCCACTCACGCGCTCGACCGCACCACGCTCACCACGGTCGTTTCCCGTCCGCACTTGCTCACCCGCGCCCGCACGTCCTCGGCGTCGAGCCCCGCGCCGACGACGACGACCAACTTGTCCTCCACGCTCGTTCGCACCGACGTGACGGCGTCATCCTTACTCAGGATTCGTTTCACCGCGTTCGCGCACCCGTCGCACGCGAAGTCACACCGCAGCGTCACCGTGGTCGACATCGCGCGCGCGACGACGCGTCGCGACGTGCGGTGGATGACGACGACGCGCGTTAAATTGTGAAATTTAAAAAATGCATCGCGACGACGCGCGACTTCGCGACCGGCGAGCGCGCGCGCGCGCGCGCGAGGGCGATCGACGCGCGATAGTCGTCGCGCGCGCACGTCCGCGCGGTCGACGCGATCGACCCGTGGACGTGGACGCGGTGGACGGGCGATCTCGTCGAGACGTGCGGTGCCGAGCTGTCGATTTAGATTCGAGTCGTCCGGGTGACGCCCCGCGCGAGGGGTGATCGACGCGATGGCGATGCGCCGGGCGTGTGAGTACGTCGTGTCGAGGGCGCTGGCGTCGATCGCGCGCGATGGGGGGGGGGGCGAGGGTGGAGACGCGGGGAGGAGATTCGTCTCGGACGCGCGCGCGGGCGCGGGCGCGCTGGAGAACGTCGAGTTGGACGTCGACGCGATCGCGTCGTTGGGGGGGGGGTGGACGGCGAAGATTGGGGTGGAGTTGGTCAAGGCGCGCGTGGGCGGGCTCACGGTGCGAATACCGTGGGAAGCGATCGGAAGGGAGTCGTGCTCGCTGGAGGCGCGGGACGTCTCCGTGGAGCTCAAGTGCGTCGGCGCTTGCGAGACGGAGGTGTTCGAAGCGTTCGAGAGCGCGGGTGAGGCGACGTCCAAGGCGTCGATGGTCGTGCGTCAGGTTCTGAACGCGCTCTGTAAGGGTCTTCGCGCGCGAATGCGGGAGCTTAGGATTGTGGTGCAGGACGCGAATGGCGTGGGCAAGCTTTTGGTGCGGCTCGAGGTGGCGGAGTACACGCACGGCGTTGGCGTGTTGTTCGAGGGACTGTCGGTTCAAAGAATCTCCACTGGGTTGGAGTGCTCTGTTTCCGAGGCGCTGGTTCGAGACGTTCGCGGTCGAGTGCAGGTTCCGAGCGATTTCAGTCGCATCGAAGTTGAATTGGAAGAAGTCGAAGCGAACGCATCCGTGTCGGTGGTGAAAAGCTTTAGCGATCTCGTTCGTGCTCGCGGCCTCGAGTCGCAGGGTCGTGTCAAAGTCACTTCGCATTCACGCTTGCGACGATCGTTCATCGATGACATACTCACGAACGATTTGTCAGCGAGCGGGTTGAGTTCGAGCGCGTACGAGGAGGCACGAGACGACATGGGAGATAGTGTGTACGAAGATTCCAATGAGGAATTCTTCGATGCGGACGAGGTCGCTCGAGAAATGTCGGAGTCTGCCATTTTCGACGAAGATGACGTGGCGAGTACGTCGAATGGCAACACCGTCATCGTCTTGACTTGTCCAAAGTTTTCTTTGCACGCCCCTTTTGATGAGACCGTGTGCACATTGACTCTGACCGAGATTGTCGTCGACTCAAGTAATGGTTTAGACACTAGTTGGGCTGATTTACGATTCATTTATGGTTTTGACGATGATAACCATATCGATGCGAGTTTCTCCTCGAGCAGTGACGACGTCGTGTGTGGTATGGTTGTGCAAGACGATTGCTTATCCGTGAAACTTGGTCATTTCAAAGCGAGCGTCAACGGAGTCCAATGTCTCTCGTCTCTCACAAGCGATGCAGCCGCGTCGGCATCGATTTATTGGCTCGACGATCCACTGCATCCTATGGATGGATCCTTGCCACGTCGCTGCGTATCAGAGGTGAGGGATGTCGAGACGGCGAATGGTATCAGCGCAACCCTTCGAGAGCAACTCGCAAACGACGCATCGTTTTTCGTCAAAGTGAGCGTCCCGTGTCTCAATGCTACACTCGGCGTTGACGCTATCGAAGCACTTTCGGCGATCGTTCAGTCCATGTACGAGCTTCCAGACCATCATCTGTTGGCGCTTCGCACACCGACTCCCGATTCCATCCTGAGTCCTCTCGTGGTCGCCCTCGAAGTGGGCGCGATGGAAATTCAGCTCGTGAATTCGAGTACCGCATCAAGTCATATCTCTCGCGATGATTTCGCAGCGAGCGAGGAGTCTTCAATCGCGGAGGCTCGCGTTTTGTGTGAATTTCAGCAGACACGGTGCTTTCTCGCAACAAATATCGCGGGATCCCTCGGTTCAGACTTCGCGTGGGCGCAGTTTCGCCGCGCAAGGGCGACGGTAGACGGCATGGAAGTGTTGTGTGTGAATGGTCCGGTGAGTGGAGACAGCGTCACGCCGTCTTCGGTCGCTTTTGCGCGCATGGAAGGCAAACAAACATGCGTAGACGCAAACATCGTCAGGACAGTGATTTCAGTCACGCAGTGTGAACCACTCATTGAGCGTCTGAATAATTTCATTCCGGTGACAGAGGGTGAGATATCGGCGTCCCCCAATGAATCAACGCAGTTTGCGTTGCGATTATTCAATTCTTCGTTCGTGCGCAAGTTGAACGATTCATTCGGAGTTCTTTGCGCTGATTTTTTGCGCGTGAACTCCAAGCAAGGTGACAGCGACGAGGGAACGGTGGGGTTGGGCGCAGAAGTATACTGCGGCGAAACGACTGGTTACGTCGTTCCACCAGGAGTAAAGGATACAGACGGCCTTCAAATGTTGGTCGCGTTTCCCTTCACTCACGACTCGATGCTCGCAGAAGGTTTCGCTCCCATTTTCAAGGCGAATGCGATGTCCCTGACGACGCTCGCGTCAACGTCTAACACTGCGATCGCCAACATACGAACGCATGATTGTACCATCACGTTACACAAGGATACTCTGAAGGCGGTGAATCGCTTGTTAACGCCCGACATTGAATGTTTCGATCGACCAGGCACTCCAGACAGCTGCTGCGACGAAAACGAGTATGTCTTCGTGAGTCCGGCGAAGAAGAAGTCGGGCGTTGTTCACGCGCGATATGGATCGGACATCACGGAGAGGCATATTGCGGATGCTACGAGAGACCAAGGTTTGCCTCCAAAAGCCAGGACTTTGGGTTCCATCATCACTGAGGGGCGGCAACGGCCGCTGCTAAGTCGGTCGACGAATACTGAAACTGGTCCGAACGTCATAGAGAATTTCTTCTACCGCGACACGCGACGAGTCAGACGTAAGCGCGCGCAGCCACTGTTTGCGTCTGGAAGCGTTTCCGGGGTGCGTCGGAGGAGCTCGATTCGCGTACGAATCGACGATATGAACGCGACGACAATGAGTCAAAGTAGGTTTGCTGGTGAGTTCGGCACGTCATCCGTGCATATTACGCCCCGCGCCATGAGGCGTGTTTCCCCGAAAGAGGCGCCTGCACGTTACCTCCCGCTACCCAAAGACGCCGTCGTCCCGCAGAGCACCGTCCACTTGCACGGAAAGGCGTTTGAGGTATGCATCAGGCCTGGGCTCTTCTGGTCTCCAGTTAGTTCTCCGAGACACGCTGACTCTGTGGAAACTGACCCGCTCGGTTCATCCGCGGGAATCAAACTCTCTCTTCGAATGAATACCGCACGCATCGATTCGTTCCCTCCGCATGATGGAGATGCCACGCATCGCATCGCATGTTCGGTGCGTGATGTGCTCTGTACGGATATCACCTCTGGAGCGACGTGGCCGAACGTGTTGAAATACGACGCGAGTTCAGGAGAGCGGGAGGAGCGAGCGGACATGTGCTTACTCGATGTTACCGCGTATTCATGTCGAGGTTCTAACGAGTTGGAGTATGTCGTGAAGGCTTCTTCTTTGCCCTTACATGTGAAGCTTGATCAACGAGTCGTCAAACTTCTTCTGGATGTCTTTGCCAACGAGATCGAGCCTTCGCACGTCATGTCTGCAGAGTCGGAAGACACGGCATACTTTCAAAAGATTGAGGTCGGAAGCACGTCACTGCGATTGGACTACTGCGGGCGCCAACTTGATATCGATGCTCTGAGATCCGGAAATCTTCTCGAGGTGCTCAATCTGGTACCTTGGGATGGAGTGTCGCTCAACATCGAGCCGATACGTCTGACGGGGATCTCAGGTGTCGCGAACGCAATGCAAGCCGTCATCACGAGATGGCTTGAGGATGTCACGCGAACACAGGCAGGGAAATTCGTGCAAGGGGTGAAGCCGATCAAGTCAGCGACGAACATCGGGCGACGGGCGATGGGTATCGTGAAAAGGCCACTTGACTATCATCGCAATAACAAGCGCGGGGGATTCGTCGCTGGCTTCGCGCTAGGAGTCGCATCTTTCGTCAAGGAAGTCTCACTGTCGTCCATGGAGCTCGGGGCTTTCGCCGCGGGACAGTCCGCAGCGCTCCTAGATGCGGCGGAACACATGATCGAGGAGCACTCGGCGCGAGAGGCAGATGACGCCGAACCCACCAACATACTCCAAGGACTTTCGCTCGCCTCCAAGGCGGCTTGGCGAGGCGCTGGTCGCGCCGCCACCGCGGTGATCGTCGAACCGATCCGAGACTACCGCACTGGCGACGTAACGAGCTCCAGCGCGTTCCTCGGCGCCGTTCGCAAAGTCCCATACGCCACCGTCACGGGCGCCAAAGGTTTCTCCAAAGCAATCGACCACGCGTTATCCGGCGCGATCGCCAGCGCGCGCGCCGTTCGCGCTCCGCCGTCGCCCACACCAACGGTCGACGACGTCGACATCGACGTCAGCGACTAGCTCACGACGATTGATTCATCTTCTCTGTATCTCTGTATCTCCGCGTCTCCGTCGCAAATCCTCGTCCTTCCACGTCACGGCTCGGAACCCTCGAACGCACTGTCCACAGCACACGCGCGCGCGCGTCGAGCTCGCCCGCGAACGACGCGACGCGAACGATCGAGGACCGATCGGTATGCGCGCCGCGCGCGTCACCCTCTCCCGCGCGCGCGTCGCGCCGCGCGTCGACGAACGTCGCGCGCGTCGATGCCCTCGAGGTCGAAGCGCGACGATTTCAACCGCGTTCCCGACGCGCGCGACGCGCGCGACGACGCAGAGCAGAGGCGAGGGGGTGCGAATGAACGCGTACGCGAAGGAAACGCCCGCGTTTGATCCGCTGGGGATCCTAGACGTGTCGAGAGGGGACGACGGGATCTTCTCGCCGACGTTCGGCTTTGATAAGCCGCGAACCGCGCGCGCGAGCGGATCTTCGAAAACCGGTGGGGAAGCGAACATGGATAACTTCTTCAAAGGGAAGCTCCCGGGGAAGATCGCGACGGTGTTCGCGCTGTTGGTGTTGTCGAGGGTGGGGACGTACATTCCGATCAGCGGCGTCGATAGGGCGGCGTTCGCCGAGTCGCTGAGCGGCGGTGGTGGCGTGATGGGATACGTCGACACGCTCACGGGTGGAAGCATCTCAAAGCTTGGGATATTCTCACTCGGGATCGTGCCGTACATTAACTCGAGCATCATCTTTCAGTTGTTGGGGAGCGTGTTCCCAGAGTTGAAGAAGTTGCAAAAGGAGGAGGGCGAGGCGGGAAGGAGGAAGTTCCAGCAATATCAAAGGTGCGTCAGCGACCGCGCTTACGTTCGTGCGATGGCGGTGATGTGACCTTTTAGGTCTCGTTCGATTGAGCTCCAGCGCGTCACGACGGGTTGGTGGCCTGAAAAGAATAACGGAAACTGAGCCATCTGAGCTGTGTGACTCGAAGCCAATTAGCTGAAACAACACCGACTGACCTTGATTTTATTTCGCGCGTCTCACAGATACGGTGCGCTTGGTTTTGCAATCGTTCAAGCCGTCGGTCAGTGCTTGTACATTCGTCCGTTTGTGGAGGATTTCAGCCCGGTGTGGTTGTTCGAGCAGAGTTGCGCTCTCACCGCAGGCGCGATGATTCTCATGTATATTGGCGAGCTCTTGAACGAAGTCAAGCTCGGTAACGGGACGTCCTTGTTGATATTTGCCAACATTGTAAGCGCGTTACCGTCTTCCGTCGGCCAGACGATAACACTCGCGCAGGAAAAGGGTGACGCCACGGTTCTGCCAGTGTTTTTTGGCGCGTTCGCGCTCACCACTTTGGGGATTGTGTATGTGCAAGAGGCGGAACGCAAGATCCCCATGAACTATAGCACGCGCTTCAACGCCGGCGGCCTCGCCAAGTCTTCGTACTTGCCGTTCAAGGTGAACAGTGCTGGGGTTATGCCCATTATTTTCGCCTCGTCTTTGCTCGCTTTACCCGCTACGTTGAGTCGATTTACCGATAACGGTGCGGTTCTTGGCGTGGCGAGATTCCTCAGTCCCGGTGGCGGTGCAGGCTATGTTCCGGTGAACGTGGCGATGATCTGCTTTTTCAACTACTTCTACACCTTCCTGCAGCTTGAACCGAAGGATGTCGCGGATCAGTTGAAGCGTCAAGGCGCCTCCATCCCCGGTGTTCGCCCGGGGGCCGCTACGCGCGACTACATCACACGCGTGCTCGAACGCCTTTCGGTACTCGGAAGCGTCTTCTTGGGTGCGCTTGCGCTTACTCCAGGTGCGGTTGAGCAAGTTACTGGTCTGCAAACTTTCCGCGGTTTCGCTGGTACTTCGCTTTTGATTTTGGTGGGTGTCGCTACGGATTCGGCAAGGAAGATTCGCTCCGAGCTCGTAATGGAGTCGTACGATACCAAGCTAGACGAGTTCTACGGTTCGAAAAAGAAGTAGGTATTTTAGCAACGAGATTTGTGGTTTCTACAACGAATGATTCAAGCAAAAAAAACAAACGATCTAATAACGACCTCTTCCTCGTCCTCCGCCCGAGAACCGTCCTCCGCCACCGCGACCGCCCGCACGTCCGCCTGGAGAACCTCGTCCACCGAACCGACCACCAGGAGAGCCTCGGCCGCCACCGTAGTTCCCACCTCGACCAGAAAATCGTCCTCCACCACCGCCGCGCCCGCCACCAAAACCACCTTCGCGGGCTTGCGGTCGCTGACTCAATTCAGGCAACTCAGCGCACTCGATGATGGTGACAGCGGTCTTACCGCTGGTCGCTGGCTCTGAGAGCGCGACAAACTTATCGGCGAGTTCCGATGGTACGTCGAACACGGCCGCCTTGTTATCCATACTCAACGTGAGACGACGAAGTTGAAGCTCACTCTCGTCCATGCGTTGACGTAAGAAGTTCCAGACATATGTCGGAGTCCTGATATCGACGCCGTTGGCGGTGAAGAGCAAAGTTGTCTGCCCTGAGTGCGACGTCAATAGAGAGCGCTGACGAAGTTCTCCATGACCTGCAAGCTTGGCGATCGCCATCGCAAGTACCTCGACTGGATCGCGACCCTCTTCGCTGTCGCTGTCCTCACCCTCGAGTAAATCGCGCGCGACATCCATGAAGAGCTTCGCGGCACCCTTATGCACCTTGCGAATTTGTTCGCCGGCAATCTTCCCCGCAGCCTTGGCCATCTCCGCCGGTTGCGGTGGTCCGATTCGAATGAACTTGAATCCTCCCTTACGCTCGATGTTCGGTACAGCCCACTCGTTACGCGGCGTACAAAGGGTGACGCTAATTCCAGTTGCGCCCGCTCTTCCGGTTCGCCCCGAGCGGTGAATATACGTCTCTGCATCTTTCGGTGGTTCGCACTGAATGACAAGTTCCACACCCGTGATGTCCAAACCGCGAGCGGCGACATCGGTCGCGACCAAAACCTGGAACTTGTCTTCGCGAAACAACGAAAGGACGACTTCGCGTTGGCTTTGGCTGACGTCGCCGTGAAGCGCCTTTGCCCCCTTCGGGATTTCCTTTTGCAGGTTGTCGCACAACTCGCCGCAATCGCGTTTGGTATCACAGAAAACGATAACACGTCCACCACCAGGGGCTTTCGATCGAATGACGTCGCATACGAGGTCAACTCGATCGGACCACTGGCACGGCAACAACATGTGCTGCACGGCGCCGCTCGCTTTTTGCTTTTCGTCACCAACCAAGTCAACCGTCGAGTAGTTGGGCTTCAGGAAGCGCTTGGAGATGTCCTTCACCCACGATGGAAGCGTGGCGGAGAACAAAAGTGTTTGCACGTCACCAGAGCTCTTCAAAATGGTCTCGACATCGTCGACGAAACCCATGTTCAACATTTCGTCGGCTTCGTCGAGCACGCGAAACTTCAGATCCGTCATCATCAGCGTCTTGCGCTCGAGGTGATCCTTCATGCGTCCCGGGGTACCGATCACGATATCAACACCGCTTCGCAAACCCATCTCTTGCTCGCGATACGGCGCGCCGCCGTACACACACAGAGATTTGAATCCGTACGAGTTTCCAATCCAGTCGAAATCCGCGAAGACTTGCTTTGCGAGCTCTCTCGTAGGCGCCAACACCACGCACATCGGTCGTCTGCCCTGCACCCGTCGTCCATTCGCCGGCATTGGCGACATCTTGGCCATCAACTCGATGATGGGCAGCACGAATGCCAGCGTCTTCCCGCATCCAGTCCTCGCTCGTCCCACGACGTCGCGCCCGCCGAGCGCGATTTCCAGCGTCTCCGCCTGAATCTGAAACAACGCATCGTACCCCTTCTTCCGCAGCGTCGTCTTCACCGGATCAGTCAAACCCTTAAAATTATCCAACGCCAACGGATTCGGCTCCTCCGGTTCGGGCGTCCCGAGTTCGAGATCTCCCTCCGCCCGCTCGTCCTCCTCTCTTCGCGCGCGCGACTTTTCTCTCTTTGATTCATCCTCCTCATCGCTCGCCTGCATCGCGAACATCCTCCACCGATCAGTCTCAACGCGCGACGCTTTCATTTCTCTCCTCAATCTCGTTCGCTCGCGTCCATCGTCCTCGCCCATCGCTCGCACCTTTCGCTTCTTCTTCGTCTCCGTCGCCGCCGCCGCCTCCACCGTTCTCTCCTTGGAGCTCTTCTTCTCCTTCTTCTCCTTCTTCGCCTCCTTGGCCGCTTTATCCTTCGTCTTACCCATGACGACGACGGGCGTGTCGCGCTCGAGGCCGTGCGCCGTCGTTCGTTCGTCGACGCGCGCGGGCGACTGGGGCGAGCTCGGTCGACGCGGCGGCGTGTCGTGTCGTGTCGTGTCGTGTGTACAGGAAATGTGATTATTTTGGTTTATTGGGATCGGCGCGCGCGTCCGCGCGGACGGTCGCGACGCGGACGGTCGCGACGCGCGGGGAAGCGTTCGTCGATGGACGCGTGATGTGGCGTTACACGTCGGTACGAGGGTCGGATTGGGCGGGTGATGGGTCGGGGGCGAGGGCGAAGTCGGCGCGCGCGGACGACGGGACGACGTGAAACGTCGGGAACTCGATGACGGTTTTGCCGCGTAGAGCTGTGGCGATCGCGTCGTGGACGTCGATCGCGTGCCAGAGCTTGGCGTTCGCCGGGGTGCCGAACTCCTCGGTGAAGACGCAGAAGCCATCCTTCTCTTTGAACGCGGCGAGCTTGAACGGAGCCATGGACGGTTTGTTTTCAACCGCCAACGTCAACTCTCGCACGTGTGCGGCGTAGAATTCGCTCAGCGTCGCGTTTTCGCCCGCACTCTCGTCGATTCGTACCACGCGCGCACCGTCGATGTGAAACACCCACTCCAATCGCCAGCGCAGTTCGTCATCTTTCCGATTCCATACCGTCGCGTTCCTCCGCCTTCGCTCCATGCCCTCCGCGACGAATCGCACCTCGACGCCGCGCTCGGCGCACTTCGCACGCAGCGCCTCCTGTTCCTTTCCTAAGACCATTCTCGACCGATCATCCCGATTCCGTCCCCCTCTACCGCCGCGTCCGCCGCGTCCGCCGCGTCCGCCGCCGCTCACCCGCTCGCCGTCGCCGCGCGTCGTCGCGTCCCCGCTCGGTCGCCACCGCCGCGCTCGCTCCCCCACCGCGCCCATTTCCTCTAAGAACCGATAATCTCGCACCACGTCCGCGTCCGTGAGCCGCTTTAACTCGACGAAGGCGTCGCGGCGTCGCTTCCCGTCGCACGATTTCTCAATTTTGTGCGCTTTAACGCACGCCAACGAACACGACGTCGCGTCGCACGCGGGGCATCGATACCGCGACCGCGCGCTCGCGCAGGACGCGCACGTCGTGTCCGCGAGCGCGGGCATGCGCGGGGTCCGTCTGGAGCGCGCGCGGCGCGTCGATGTGTCGCGGCGCTCGAGTCGCCGCCGGCGCACTTCACGACGCGCGCCGCCGGGGCGCGCGCGTCATGAACGAGGACGGCGACCTGGTGGCGGTGATCGGGGACGAGGACACCGTCACGGGATTCCTTCTCGCGGGCGTCGGACACGTGGACGAGCGCCAGAGATTGAATTACTTGGTGGTGGGCGAGCGCACGACGGATGATGAGATCGCGGACGCGTTTAAGGCGTTCACGTCAACGCGCGAGGACGTCGCGGTGGTGCTCATCACGCAGGTGATCGCGGATAGGATTCGACACCTCGTGGACGCGCACTCGAGGGCGATACCGAGCGTGTTGGAGATCCCGGACAAGGAGAACCCGTATAGACCGGAGAGCGACAGCGTGTTGTCCAGGGTGCGACACTTGTTGGGGGGAGACGGGACGTGACCGCGCGCGCGGTGGGATTGTTTTACATCGTTCTGAACGTCGACTCGAGGACTGGAGCGATGAGCGTCGCGAAGAGCTCACGGAGGAGCGCGAAGACGAGGCTCGGGACGAGGCTCGGCCGACGGCGCTCGCGAGCGCGATGCGTTTTCGGGCGCGATGTGTCATCGATCGCGGTGTGAATGCGCGATTTAGTCAACTCCGTTGCGCGCGTCGCGATGGTCGATAGGTGAGTGCGTCGGGGACGCGTTTTGAATGAAGATTGCTGTATATTGCCGTCCACCCGCGAGCTCGTGTCTAGAACGAGCGCGAGAGGTGTCTAATTGCGAATCGCTTACGCCTTGGCCACGACTTCCTTGCCCGAAATTCTCTCGTACACCTCACGAACCTTGAGACCCACAATGGTCTGGAAGAAACCCGTACCGTTGTTGGAGCCCGGACCGTTTTGGTACTTGAGCATTTGCTGGGTGATTTCGCCGTAGAACTTGGAGGACGTGTTGGACAAGTGAGACTCAACGTAGATGAGCTCTTCGAGCTTGTCGAATTGACCATCCATCTCGAGCACAGTGACTTCCTTACCGTAGTAGGTGTCCGGGCCGTAGAAGAACTTGATGCCCGGGTAAGAGCACGTCAACTTGCGGCCGCACGGGATCCAGGAGATGGTGGAACCTTCGTCGAAGAGGTACGGGGCGTCGAAGTTCTCCACGTTCTCCTTCATGATCATGCGCACGCGCAAGATCTTACCCTCGTTGTCATCCGGGATGAGCTGAGTCGGGAGCACTTCGATGACGACGTCGGCGTGTTCCTTTTGCGGGTCGACGAACGCGTCGAAGTCCGGCTTACGGGCTTCGATGGACGCCTTGATCGACTCCAAGGAGTGACCACGCTCAGCCATATCACGTTGGATCTTCCAAGCGAACTTCACGTCGTCGGAAATGTCCAAGTAAATCTTGAAGTCGAACATGTCGCGCACGCGCGTGTCAGCGAACGGGTGAAGACCTTCGAGGATGAGCACCTCCGGGGATTCAATCTTCTCCGCCGGGTCGAACACACCGGTGACGTGGTTGTAAATCGGCTTATCGACCGACTTACCCTCCTTAAGCGCCTTGACTTGATCGTACATGAGGTCTATTCAATCGTAAAATCGTCGCGCGTCGTCAGTCGATGCGCGTCCGCGAGTGGATAACGAGCGCGCGATCGTCGCGTCCTTCTCCTCCCTCTTCCCACGCCTTCGTCGCGTACGTACCAAAGTTTTGCTCCTTGAGGTTCAGCGCCGTCAAGCCGCTCGTCTTTCGCCCCGCACGATCGTTCAGGTGATAATCGTCCAGGCACAGCACCGTCGTCGTCTCCGAAATCAACGTGTTCGAGTCCGGGTTCCCGCCCTCGGGGGGCGTCGCCTTCCCCCCGAAGAGGGACGTCATGCGACGCATGAACGTCGACTTCCCGCATCCAGAATCAGCGGCGAGACCGATGATAACCGGACCGTCTCTTTTCGCCGTCGTCACGACGCGCGCGCGCGTCGCGCGCGGCTTCACCGCGTCGCGCGTCGCCCGCACGGGCGCCGCGCGCACGCTCGTGGAGAATCCCAAACTGGCGGACATGGTGACGTGTGCGGAGGCGTTCGATCGCGCGTGAGGTGAAAACTTTGTGTAAAAGTTTTCGTGCGACGGCGAGCGACGTGCGTCGACGCGGAGTGGCGGTCGCGCGCGTCGACGCGAGGGCGAGCGACGATCGCGCGGGTGATCCTATCCGATCGGACGGGTGAAACCCTGAGGGGTATTTCTGGGTCAGGACTCGTCGAACATGTATGGTGGACACCGAGGGGGGTGGTGGTGAGTCGTGACCCTGGACGATGTCGATAGGCTCGACGCGGGCGCGGCGCCGCGCGGGCGCGGGCGGGGGAACGTCGAACGCGTTCGGGTCGACCGATCGACGGTGCGGTGGGGTGAAGACGGTGCGTGACGCGTCGTCGATGACGACTCGGGCGCGATGTGGCTTAAATTAAAAGAGGCTGCTAAATAACGTAACGCGGGCGCGGCGGCGACTCCGGTTTCGGCGTCACGGAAGCGTCGCGAGCCATTTGAGTAATTCGGCGTTGGACTCCGTCGGGGCGTCGTCGTGCGGACAGTGCCCGCCGAGAACGGGTGCGTACAGGGCGTTGGGCTTGATCTCGCGGATGCGCGCCGCCTTGGTGGGCGTCATCCACGGATCCTTCTCGCCCCAGAGTAACATGAGGGCGCCGTCGTAATCCGCCAAGAGATCGCCAGCCTTGACCTTTGTGCGCGAGCCGGCGAGGGAGAGTTGATAAAAGGTATCGATTGCCCCCGGATCCTGCGCCGCGAGATCGATCGATCGCACCAAATCGTCATCGACCTCAAACTCGTACACTTGCTGAAGGATTTGCTTGATGCGAAACTTGGTCGAGTAAAAGATCCCAGTCGCCACGAGACGGCTGAACTGCTCGCGAATCGCATCCACGAACGACTTAGACTCCACGGCATCCATTTCCCTGGCGTCACCCACGGCACGCTGGGCCAGGGTTTTCTTCTCCGGCCCCGGCGCGGCATCCGGCTCAAAGTTCCCGGCGCTGTTCACCAGGCACAACCCTTTACAAGACTCTGGCGACGTGCTCGCGGCGTACAGCGCCGCGAGGGCGCCGATTGAGTTCCCAGCGATCACCGTCTTATCCGTCGGCGACGCCCCCGCGACCTCCTTTGAGAAATCAATCACTTGCTGTCCCCAAAACTCCATGCAATACTTTTCCTCAACCTTCGGCGACCACCCGTATCCGAGCATGCACAACGCGTACACCCTGTACCCCGCGCGCGCCAACGCGGGAATCGTATATCTCCAGTGATAACTATGCGCACCAAATCCGTGCACCAAGGTCACGATCGGTCCATCGTTCGATTCTCCCGCCGAGATATAATTGCACGCGTACCCGCGCCACGTCCACGTCCGCCATCCCCCCTCCCTGAGCGCCACGCGTTCGCGCCCCTCGCCGTCGCTCTCGAGCTCGACGTGGTCAAAAAGCACGTTCGCCCCGTCGCGCGCGCGCGTCGCGCTCGATCGCGATGCGCGCGCGGTGGTCCATCGCGTCGTCGTCGACGTCGACGTCGCCCGCGCGCGCGCGCATCGCGTCGAGGCGACGCGCGACGCCATCGCGCGCGGCCGCGCGCGCGCGCGCGTCGTCGACGTCGGCGTCCCGCGCGTCGTCGACGCGCGCGACGGCGTCGACGTGGACGCGTCGCGGTGAGACGAGCGATGCGCGGGCGACGCGCTCGGCACTCGTCGACGCATCGCGACGTCGAGCGCGACGTCCACGGCGCGCGCGCGCGGAGGAGATCCGATGGCACACGCGCGCGCGCTGTCGTTCCGCGCGCGCGCGGGGGAGGCGCGGGCGACGCTGCGCGAGCGCCGCGGGAGGAAATCGTCGATCGTCGCGCGAGGGACGACGTGCGGAAAGGTGGAAAAGATGAACGCGGAGGAGTTGGAGATCGCGATGGCGAACAGAGAGACGCCGATGGTGATTGATTTCTACGCCACGTGGTGCGGGCCGTGCGTGCTGATGTCGGCGGAGCTGGAGAAGGTGCAGGAGCGACTCGGGGACGCGGTGCGGTGCGTGAAGGTGGACACGGATGAGGAGACGGAGCTGGCGACGCAGCTGCAGATCCAGGGGCTGCCGACGTTGGTGTTCGTGAGCCCGGATCAATCTAAGCCGGCGCTGAGAACGGAGGGGATGCTCCCGGCGGAGACTGTGATCTCCGTGATCGAGAACGAGCTCTCGTAGGTCCCGCGCGTTAGGTCGCCGCGCGCTAGGTCGCCTCGCGCGTCGCCGCTTCGTCTCGCTCGCTCGAGTACGGGGGAATTTTGGGTGTGTAATCTACGTCAACTTTCTATGCGTTCTACTCACGGGAGCGTGTCGATCACCAACCGTACTTTTGTCGATTGCTCGCGCGCGTGTGCGCAGCCTTTAAGCCGGACTCGATGGTGCGCTCCTCGGCTACCTTCGCGTCGTGCAAGAGCGCCGTGAGCTGGTGCTTGTGTCGCGCCGCCTGGCTCCCCTGGGTGGTGTGAATCCTGGAGAACTGTCCCTCGATGGGTATGATCGCCGCCCCCGGGCCGCGTGCGGATTTCCTCAGGTCGGCGGCGGAGATGGTGGCGATTTTTATTTCTCGTCCGTTTCGCTCGCGCTCTATCTTCGCCGCCGCCGCGAGCGCTTGATCGACGAACCCGTCGCCCGTGACGTCGAATTCGACGATATCGTCCTCGGGTACGTTCGCGTTCGCGTCGCCGACGTCGCCGTACGCGTCCTGATTCACCCACTGTCCGTCGTCGCCCACCGCGTACATATCCGCCGCGTGCGGGCCCGCGTCTTCGTCCGAGAGCTCGTCCTCTTCATCCTCCGCTTCATCGTCCCTCCGCCCGATCGCACCCGACGACACCGTCGGCCTCGAACCCAAATCAAGCGCCATCTCGCGTCCACCCGCGCCCGTGTCCCGCTTCGGCTTCGGCAGCGCCGCCGCCAGGCTCGTCCCGGCGCCGTCGCGTCCTCCGCCCGCGCGCGCGCGCTTGGGCAATCTCTCGTCCTCCGAGTCGCTCTCCGAATCATCCTCCAGCGCGCGCGCGAGCGCGGGCGCGGGAATGGTGACCACGCGCCTCGTCGACGTCCCGCTCGCGGCTGGGAGCTTGGAGAAGAGCGACGACGACGACGTGGGCGGCGGGAGCGACGACGCGACCTTCGTCGACGCGCTCTTCCGCGCAGACGGCGTCGCGCGCGCCGTCGGCCGCGGCGCGACGGTGTCGGTACCGTCGTCGTCGTCAGACGACCCGTACGCGTCGAGGCCGAGCATGGTGGACGACGCGGACGACGCGGAGTGCGGACGCGCGCGGAGCGCGAACGCGAGACAAAGCGTCGTCGACGTATTACATAAATGAGAGAAGCATCACTCGCGGTAGACGGAATTACTACTCGCACACGACGTTGGATACCATTCCAAAGCCCGATCGCGTGCACGACTTGACGTCGACGAGCTCGATGTCGAAGATCTCCCATTGCTTGGCGGAGAAGAAGGTGGCGGGACCCGTCGGCGGACCGAGCTCGGGAGGAACGACGATCCGACGCTTACCGCCCACGCGCATCTCTTTCAGCCCGATCTCGAAACCTGGGATCATGCCGTTGATCCCGAGCCGCGTCGACGCGGGCGCACCGCGTCGGTACGTGCTGTCGATCGTTCCACCGTTTTCGTTGTACGCGACGTATTGAAACGTACACTCTTGTCCGTCCTCCGGCTTCGCCCCGTCGCCGATGACGTAATCCTTCACGATGAGCCCATTTTCTTGATCGACGTAATCGTTCCCGTGAATCACCTTGACGTCGTACCCTTCCCGGATGAAGGCTGGGAAATCTTCCGGCGCGTTGTTATACGTCTTGATGCGTTGATTATTCAGCAACTGCTTCGTGTCCTGTTGCTCCGTCGGCATCGACCGCTTCTCCGCTCGTTGCTCCACCACCACAGGCTTCTCAACGACAACCGCTCTCGTCGCCTCCCTCTTCGCCTCCACGTCCTCGACCACGCGCGCCACCGCGTCCTCGCCCGCGTCGTCCTCGCGCGCCGTCGCGCGCGCGCGCGCTCTATCCAAAACTCTCGACGTCCCCTCGTTCCTCGCGAACGGGTCCGCGTCCTCGGTCGACCGCGCGCGCGCGTCGAGCGCGCCCATCGTCGTCGTCATCCCGAGCATCCCGAGCGCGACGTCCCGTCGTCGCGTCGTCGTCGCGCGCGGTCGTTCGCGTCGTCCCGTCGACCACGCACATTCATCGTCTTCATCGCCCCCCGTCCGCGCCCGCGTCGCCACCGCGCGCCCGCGTCGCCACCGCGCGGTCACGCGGGATGGGTCCAGTGCCCCCGCGCGCGCGCGCGGCGTCGCGTCGCCCACGCGCGGCATGACGCGGCGTCGATGAATGATGCATCCGCACTCGCCGCCGCCGCGACGGCGATGACCTCGCGCGAGCGCGCGCTCGTCGCTCGATTGCCCGAACCGCTGCGATCGATGTCCGTGAGCGACGTCGCGCGCGTCGCCGTGGAGGCGTACGGCCTCGGCGCGGGCGAGGGGACGTGGACGACGGGGCGATGGATGGGCGACGGGGCGACGGATGCGGACGACGCGCTCGAGCGTCTGTGCGCGCGCGCGTCGACGTGCGCGCGGTGCGGGCGAGTCGTGCTCGAGGAAGCGATGGCGGCGCACGCGAAGCGCGGGTGCGGAAGGGTAGAGAGGACGGATGAAGGGGGTGGGAAGCGAGGACGGGCGGACGACGCGCGCGGGACGGAGGCGTCGACGCGCGCGGCGTCGACGCGTGAAGGGGAGGAAAGGACGCGGGAGAGGCGAGCGCGGGGGGACGAGGGCGCGCGTGAATGTGCGTGGGCGGTTGCGCCGATGGTTTCTGGGAAGGAAAAGGACACGAAGCGGGTGCGGTGGGCGCTCACGATTGGCGCGATGTTTCGCGCGAAGGCGTTCGAGAGCCCGCGAGACGCGTTCCGGTAATAGCCTACACGCGTCGATGTATCATACCATGATTAGTTTTCTATAGTTTGCGAAGCGTGAGAAACCTGTAGGGATCGTTCGCGAGCGCGTGCGGGGTCTCTTTCGCCGCCGGAAAACCATCGAGCGGGAGCGCGATGGATTCGACCGTCAGCTCAAAGATTGTCCGAGCGGCGGCGACGAAGCGAGCGAATACCTCGCCGTTATTACTCCGCATCGTTTGGACTATGTAGCAAACCCCGTCTGGTTTCAGTCGAAGATTGATCGCGTTCAGGAGACTCTCTTCCTGACTGGCAAAGTATAACAAATCGGATCCGATGACGACGTCAAACGTCGCATCCGGATGAATCGATTCCGAGCCATCTCCGTCGCTCTCAATGTTACTCCAATGTCTCACCCGTCTCGGAGTCTCGCCCAACCGTCTCGCGTTTAAGATCTCCGCGTCCTCTTCCCACAGATGTCTTCGAATCACCACCGCGTCTCTACACTCCGGCTCGGCGACTTCGCGAAACGCCAACAACGTCCGCTCCAAATTCCGCATCGTGTGCGGCCCACAATCCGCGATCGTGACCGCGCGCGCCCCCAACGCCGCGGCGTAGAACCCACACACCCCACACCCCGCGCCGATCTCCAGCACACTCCGCGAGCGCAGGAAGTCCGCGTCTAACGCGCGCGCGCGCAGCGCCTCGCACAGGATCACCGCCGCGCGCCACACCACCGTGCCGAGCTCTTTTTTGTGCGCCTGTCCCACGAGCAGCGGCGCGCGCGCGCGCGGCAACGGCAGCGCGTACGGGGCGTCCGCGCTCGCCCTCGCGCGCGCGTCGCGGGCGTCGGCGCGATCGGTCGACGACGACGGCGCGATCGTCGGCGCGACGTCCGCGCTCCACGCGCGCGCGCGCACGACGCGGGCGTCGGCGTCGGCGTCGGACCAATCGCGCGTGAGATCGAGGACGTAGTCGTCGTCGGCGTCGGCGTCGTCGGCGTCCATGCGCGCGGGCGTCGACGAGCGAGGGCGCGGCGGGGAGTCGGGGGACGCGTTTTCGGTGCGTCGGTTTCTTTCCTCGTACTGTTTGGTCATACCCATAAAAACATGGATATCCACCGCGGGAGGACGCGACTCACCCGAAGAGGGCGGCGACGAGGGCGTTGGTGAAAGCGCCGTGTGGGTCGAGGTAGCGACGCGCGGCGTTGAACTCCTTCACGGGGTAGTGCTCGCGAAGTCTCGCTTTATCGCGGGCGAGACGCGCTGGGTCCTCGGGAACCTCGATCTTGGCCCAGTGCGCGCGAAGGGCGTACGCGTCGCCGAGCGCGTCGAACTCCTTCTCGCCGTACGCCCTGAACGCGCGCGTGATGGCGTCGCGCTCCTTCTCGTCGGCCGTGGGAAGGTACATTATGATACCGACCCAGGAGTGAAGAGAGTCGGGCGCGCCCGCCGCGGGAGACATCGGCGATGAACTCCCGCTCGTCCAGCGCTGCTCGATCGGCGCGTGCGCCGGGATCTCGTCATCCTCTATCATTTTACGAAGTTCGCGCATGAACTGCAGATCCGATCGAAGCGGCGCGCCCGCGGCGGGTGGTTCTTCCGCGAGATTGCCAGCCGGAAACGCGACCTCGAGCACGTGTTGCTGTCCGCCGCAATCAAATCCTAATATTTGATCACTCCAGTCCACGCGAGTGCCCGCGCTTCGCTTCCAAAACTCCGCCTCCGCGGCGTTGACGCGCTTGACGTGCTCAACATCGAGAGGATTTACCTTTAAAAGCTCGTCTCGAAGCTGTCCGAAGCCCATGCCCTCGGGATCGACCCCAGGAGCCACTTGCCTGAGCAAACGTACGAGCGGCTCCACTTTCTTCTTCTCCGAGTACGCCGATCTCGTGCGCGGTTCCTTTTCGTTCGGTTTCAACGGATTACTCGCCACCACGACCACGGTATCGGTGTACGGGATCCACATGTAACGAATGTGTTGGTACTCTCGAATCCAACGCTCGTGGTTGGTTTCAATCTCATCCGGCGTCGCCGTCCACGTCTGTTCCACGAGCTTGTGCGCGTCCACGCATTGAATCGTGAGCTCGGCCACGGCCCCCAGGGCGCCGATCCCGCACTTTGCCAGCTTAAACAGCTCCGGCTCCTTCTCCGCCGAGAGTGTGATCGTCCCTCGCGACGGGGTCACGAGCTTCATCTCCACCACTGTCTCGTCCACCGGAGGTATCCTGGCTCCAGTTCCGTGCGCGCCGACCTGCGTGAACCCACCCATCTGCTGCTCACGAATGCTCGCGTAATTCTGTAAAGTCAACCCGTGCGGACGAAGCGTCTCCACGACCTCTCGCACGCGCGCGCCCGCTCGAATCGTCGCCCGCTTGGTCTCCGCGTCCACGGCCACGACGCCGTCCAACAACCCCATGGATACCATACCTCGCTCCTCGAACGCGCATCCATTCGGACTCAGCGCGCTCCCCACCACTCGTAATTTTCCTCGTTTCCCAGCCTTGACCACCTTCTCCAGCTCCTCGATCGTCTCCGGCGCCCGCACGCGTTCGCACGTCACCGTCTTCGTCCCGCTCCAATTTTCCATCGTCTCGCTCGTCGTCGCCACCCCGTGTTCGTCCTCCGCATCGCTCGCCCCGAACGGTCCACCGCTCGTGAACACGTACGCGCTCGCGGCGACGAACAGCGCGCCCCGCGCGAGCGTGCCGAACCGTCTCTGTTCCTTTCCTTCGTTCCGTCCGCTCGTCGACGCTTTCTGTCTCGCCAACGCCGCGCGTCCGCCCAAGACGGCGTACGGACGCGCGGCCGAGGCGTAGCGCGCGGTCGCGGCCGTCGATGCGAGGCGCGCGGCGAGACGCCGGGCGAGGCGCGGCATGATGCGCGCGCAACGTTTTGAGGTTCTTCGAGCGAGGCGCGCATCGCCGCGTCACTCTGCGCCGAGGACGCGCGCGAGGACGCGCGCGCGGTGTCGACGGACGCGCCGGACCGTCGTCCACCATGGGCGCGAACGCGAGCGCGAACGAGGGGGAGACGCGCGAGGAACCGAGGGATGATGGCGTGACGTCCGAGCGAATCATCGAGGCGGCGGCGACGACGACGACGACGACGAGCGCGGACGACGTCGCGACGGTGACGACGTCGATGGCGAACGTGCGCGTGGAACCCGCGGTGGAGACCGCCGAGGTGGAGGACGGGACGCGAGATCCGTCGACGGAGACGTTTAGCGTGACGACGGCGATCAACTACGCGAACGGGGCGCCGCACATGGGACACGCGTACGAGAGCGTGTCCACGGACGTCTTGGCGCGGTATCACCGGGCGTACGGACGGAAGGTTTTGTTTCAAACCGGCTCGGACGAACACGGGCAGAAGATCGCGGAGGCGGCGGAGGTCGCGGGCGTCGCGCCGTTGGCGTTTGTCGACGGACACGTGGAGGAGTTCCGAAAGCTGAACGAGCGCCTGTCGGTGTCGAACGACGTGTACAATCGAACGACGAGCGAGGCGCACAAAAAGGCGTGCGCTGAGTTGTTCAGACGGTCGAGGGATAACGGAGACATCTACTTGGACACGTACGAGGGGTGGTACAACGTGAGGGAGGAGACCTTTGTGACGGAGAGCGAGGCCCAGGCGAGCGGGTACAAGGACCCAGTGAGCGGTAAGGATCTGAAGAAAATGAAGGAGGAGAGTTACTTCTTTAAGCAGAGCCGATACCAGGCGCAGTTGATTGCTCACATCGAATCTCATCCTGAGTTCATTCAGCCGTCGTCGCGAAGGAACGAAATTTTGGCGCGCTTACAAAATGACGAGCTTCGAGATCTCTCCGTGTCGCGAACGACGTTCGACTGGGGGATCCCCGTGCCGGATGCCCCAAAACACGTCATGTATGTGTGGTTCGATGCCCTTACGAACTATCTCACCGGTACCGGTTGGCCAGAGGAGACAGACAAGAAGGACTTCTGGCCGGCGAGCGTGCACATCATCGGCAAGGACATCATCTGGTTCCACTGCGTTATTTGGCCGTGCATGCTCTGGAGTGCGGGTCTGCAGCTTCCGAAGACCGTCTTCGGTCACGGATTCGTCACCGCCGAGGACGGTCAAAAGATGAGCAAGTCCATCGGAAACGTCGTGGATCCGAATGTCGTGTTGGAGAAGTTCTCCAGCGATACGTTCAGGTATTACCTGATGCGCTGCGGTGTATACGGATCTGATATCCCGTTCAGTGAAGCCGCGATGGTTTCTATTCACAACGCCGATCTCGCCGACGTGATCGGCAACCTTGTCCACCGGGTGACGAACCTTTGCAACAAGAGCTGTGGCGGCGTCGTTCCGGATTGCGCCACCGAAGACATTTTCGACGTCCTCGCAGTGCGCGCTAGATCTGAGGCCGCGATGGCAAAATTCAACATTCAAGCCGCGTGTGAGGCTGCGATTGAAGCGGTGAAGGCCACCAACAAGTACCTCACCGATGCAGCGCCGTGGGCCGTGAAGGGTGAGGGAGCCGAGGAGCGCAAGGCGGTCATCATTAGATCAACCATTGAGGCGGTGTACGTCTCGATGCACTTTCTGCAGCCGTACATTCCCACGGCGTGTGAGGCGGTTTTCAACAAGCTGGGCACGGCCCCGAAGAAGATTTGGGAGCTCAAGCCTTTCGGTGAGAACGTTGCCACCGGAGCTAAGGTTACCCACGGCGATATTCTCTTTGCTAAATTTGAAGCCGAAAAGAAGGAAATCGCAAAGAAGGAAGAGCCTGCGCCGAAGCCCAAGCCAGTGCCCGCGGACGCTCCCGTGGACGTCTCTCGACTCGAGCTCGTCGTCGGTACCGTAAAAAGCGTGAAGCGTCACCCAGACGCGGATTCGCTTTACGTCGAAGAGATCGACCTCGGCGACGAAGCGCCGAGACAGGTGGTGAGCGGTTTGGTCAAACACATCTCTGAGGAAGACTTCACCGGCCTGCGCGTCCTGTGCGTGGCGAACATGAAGCCGTCGAAAATGCGGGGCGTTGAATCGACTGCCATGGTGCTCTGCGGAACCAACGCCGAGGGCAAGACCGAGCCCGTGTCCCCACCCGAGGGCGCCGCGAACGGCACTCGCGTGAAATGTGAAGGCTTCAATGGAGAACCCGACCCGGTGCTTAACCCGAAGAAGAAAGTTTTCGAAGCCGTCAGCGCGGATTTTTCCATCAACGGCGATGGCGTTCCAACCTACAAGGGCGTCCCTTTCACCGCCGCTGAGGGCCCGTGCACGCTCCCGACTATCCGAGACGGCGTCGTCAAGTGATAGCCGCCGCGTTGTGACGAACACAAACGCATTCTCACTCATGACCCTCACACGCCCGCGCGCGCCTCTCGCGCCCGCGCGAATCGCTCACGATGCGTCAAGGATCGTCTGCGCTCGCTTCGACGTCCGCGTCGACGCACGCGATCGCGCATCGCCGCGTCATTCGTCGACAAAGTTTTCGTCGACGTCAGCACAACGCGCACTTTATCGCCCGCGCGCGCGCCGTCACGGACCCGTTCGCCGACCCCAAGCCGCGTAACGTCGATGGAAAGCTTCCGAGCGACGCGTGGCGGCATCTCGTGCAAGTGGGCGCGGGAAAGCGAAACGGAGAGTATCAAGGGGAGGCGCTCACTGTTCGCGCGTTTCGCGAGGAAGACGTCGGCGCGGTGGCGACGCTGTTGCTCGAGAGCGGCATGCAGGGGTTCCCCACGGAACGACGAACGTTGGAGGTGTACCTGGCGAACGCGGTGGGGGCTTACCCGTACGGGACGTACTTGGTCGGTGAGGTCGGGACGAGCTCGGAGATAGTGGCCACGGTCGGCGTGTCGTTCAACGAAGAGACGCGAAGGAAGTTTACGTCGCTGTCGCCGCCGAGCGACGATGGATATCTCTCTGACCTCACGGTAGCGGTGGATAAACGAGGGGCGGGACTGGGGGTGGCGATGCTTCACGGCGCCGAGGAGTTTGCGCGCGCGATGGGATGCGAGGAAATGTGGCTTCACGTGGCACTGAAAAAGCCGGGAGTGGTCACGTTGTACAGGGAGCACGGCTACGGCGTGCGAGGCGTCGATCCTGGGCTCTTCGGCTGGCGCGGTAGGCTTTTGATGAGTCGCAAGATGTAATACAAGGAGTGTTGGATAATGCACGTTCTATCCGTCCGTCCGCTAGAGGCACGCGTCGTTTCCATCGCGCCAACGTTTCAAACGTTCTTGTTCGTGCTCGAGCTCATCGTTTCGCGCCATCTGTTTAGCTTGGCGAATCTTTGCGCCTCCTGTAAAATCGTACAGTGTGATTTGATTGCCTTTCGCGTCTGTTTGCGTTGGTCTCGCCACGAACTTATCCAACGCGATGGTTTGCTTATCAACAAAAAGTTGTTTCAGAGCATCCAAGTGCTCGCGTGTGCAGCTTGAATAATCGTATCGCCAACCGCGCGCGCGCTGAGCGTCAGATGGTGGTGGAAGCTCTTGCGGATTAAGCACACCATCGTCGATCATCGAGCGGTTATGAGGTACACGTTGGACTAAACCATGTGTCGCGCGAACTGAAACGTGGGCAAAACAATTTCTGAATATTACATTTTCCTCTAAGCCGTCGGCATGACATCGCGAGCGAACACTTCTAAACCACGAATGCCGTATATATGAGCTCTTATTGGCCCGTCTCCTCTGCCCGAAGTCTTCTCGACGCGAATCCAACCTCCAAGTCCGGACACCGAGAGGTCGACGAGCGGACCGTCCACGTGCATCGGCGGTAAGAAGTCAATCTCTTGCACCAATCTCAAAGCCGCCTCTTCCTGCCCCGAAATCGTTTCAGGCACGTCTGCCGTTTTCATAAGGCTCACGCGCGTTGATTTGGGTCCGAAGAAGCCGAACGTCACGTTCGGAGGACACTCTAAAACGTCGACGCGCACAAACGATCCCCAATACAGCGAGTATCCCTTGAACGAGGCGAAACCCGGCGGTTCGGCGCACTCGGGTGTGGGTGGGACGAACTTCTTAAGCGATGAGCCTAGTTTCATCTCCGATAAATCCTCTGCGCTGAGCAAAGAGTTCAATCTGTGATGCAAGAAAACCCCCGGAGTGTCGAACAAGACGCCCTTTCCCTCGAACGCCTTCAGAGGTATCACCCCGAGAGTCGTCCCCGGCATCGCGCTCGCCACTGGTAATCGTTTCGTCGGCGCAAAGTAGTTTCCAGCCGAACGCAATTCTTCCATCGCGGCCCTGATGAACGAGCTTTTCCCAACGTTCGCGGCGCCGATGACGTAGACGTCCCGACCGTTGCGTTCGCGCATCATCTGCAGCACCGCCTCTCGCATTCCCGAACCCCTTCTCGAGCTCACGAGCGCGATTCCCGCCAGCGTGAGCCTCCTCGTCTCCGCCTCTTTCGCCACCCACCGCTCCAACGCGTCGTGATCGACCGCATTCCCCAATAAATCAATCTTCGTCACCACCAACACAATCGGGTTCCCGCCGACGACGTCTCTCACCTTTTTCAAAAAACTCCCGTGGAAATCCGTCGCGTCCACGACTTTCACCACCAGCGCCTTCTTCTCCCGGATCGGTTTCAACTGATCCCGCAGCTCTTTCGGCGTGATCAACCCCGGCGACGCCTTCACCCCCCCCTGGCCCTCCACCGCGTTCACGTACGCGCCGTTGCTCAGCTTCGCGCACCGCGCGCACAGCATCATGTCCCACTGTCCGTGCGTCGCCTTTCGCTCGTACGTCGCGACATCGACGTACCCCGCGACGTCGTTCGATCGCGTCTGCACGCCGACGCCGCATCCGTAACACCGCGCGCGCTCGCGCGCCGTCGCCGTCGTCGCCGCCGGGTCGTTCGACGCGCGCGTCCGCGCGCGATGGCGTCGCGCCGCTCGCTCGCCCGGCGCCCGCGCGCCCGCATTCGACGATCGCGACGATCGCGCGCGCGCCCGTGCCGTGGACGCGCGCGTCGACGTGCGCGCGAGCATGTCGCGCCGCACTGTGTCGCGCGCGAGCGATGGCGACGGGGACGACGACGCGGGCGTCGACGCGCGCGACGCCCGCGCGGGCGGCGAACGCGGGCGAACCGACGTCGGACGCGCGCGTGCGTCGCGCGCGCGCGGCGGCGGCGTCGTGCGCGCTCGCGCTCGCGCTCGCGCCGATGCGAGAGGCGAGGGCGGGAACGATGTACGTGGGCGCGGGCGACGCGGCGTTCCTCGAGCGCGAGTACGTCGATCTGCGGTACGCGGGGGTGGAAGAGGTCGTTCCGGGGGTGATGGATGGACGACGAGGGGTGCGGGTGACGTACGATGACTCGAAGATGACGTTTGAGACGTTGATGCGGACGTACTGGCGACACAGCGAACCGACGGCGGAGGAGCTCAAGATGGGGCCGGAGTACGCGCCGGTGATTTACGCGGCGACCGAGTCGGAGAAGACGATCGCGGAGACGGCGCGGGCGAATTTAGAGTCGTCGAAGATCTTCGGGGATAAGCCTCTGACGGTTGAGGTGATCGCGGGGACGCCGAAGACGTTTGAGGAATCGGACGCGCGAGACGCGTTGAAAGTAAACCCAAAAAAGTATGAGAAGTTAAACGCGAAACGAGCGGCGAGGTACAAAGAGTTATGGGGTTTCGTGCAGTTTTGCGCCGACCGTGTGTGCGGATACGTGCGTTTCGCGCCGAAGTGCGTCGGTAAGTGTCTCGCGGTCTTCCCGGAATACGAGGCGCGAAACGCGGGGATCCCAGAGTTGGGTGGTAAGAACATCAAGATTACGTCGAAGTGAGCGTGCGTCGTGTGTGCTAATGTTGTGATTAGAATCCTAAGCATTGATCATTTGCTTTGCGGTGATCTTGTCCCCCAGTGACAACGCGATGCCTTGCGTCTTTGAGCGAATGCGAATGAAACCGCTGACTTCTCCGGCATCCGTGCTCTCGATGGAAATGTTCACGAGGGCATCCTCGCCGAATACAGACTTGGCGTACAAGTTGGCGGCAAGGAAGCCACAATCACCATCAAGCGCACTCGGAGGTGTGAGACACTTCATCTTCGTGCTAGTCACGATGTGATCCAAGTAGTCGCGAACGTTGTTGATGTTCGTGTTCACCGCCACCTTGTTTTCCCACTCAAACTCCGCCCACATGCTTCTGAAAGCACTGTCGCTGCACGTCGCTGGAATGATGTAGTCCATGATGTCGATGTGCACGTCGTTCAAGACGATGACGTTACGATCAGAGCGTGCGCTTTCGTACACGATGTTCCCAAAGATGACGCCAGTCTCCGTTGAGCTCACCTTGATGCTTGCGCGAAGGTTATGTGTCGCAAACGGAGCCAACGAAAACGCTTGCGGACGTTCAACCAGCTTTAAATCGCCCATGGTTGAGAGTTCGAGCATTACGTTTGCTAACGGCTCATCCGTGCGGTTTGTCATCGTGACATCCAGTGTAATGTCGTACTGGTGCACGGTGACATAAGTCTCCGCGTAGACGACGTCGCTTAAGCCGGTCAGCTGCATCACACGATCCAGGCTTCGGCCGTCCTTCTTCACAGAATCCATGAAACCCGTGGCGCGCGCCAGATCCGTCGCGACGGCATCTTCAATCTCAAGCTGCGACATACCCTTGCGAGACTTGAGGTGATGGAAATCGATCAAGTCATCAGCCTGCGAGGCTGGGACGGAGTCTTGGTTTTGACTCGCACGCTCCTCGCGTCGGAGCTTATCCTCAATCATGACGGCGAAAGCCTCACCGCACGATTGGAGCCAGACTTCCCTGTCCGCCTCGTCTGGTTGGCTAATGACGTGGAAGCACAACTCGAGGCGAGCCTTGGAGTCTTGGTCTATCTCAAGCGCCAACGTGTCACTGGTACCGAGACGCAACATAGAAACAATGTACAACATGCACTCGGCTTGGATGGCGTTCTTTCTCTTTTGAGGAACCGTGTCAAAAGTCATCGCGCGCAGAGCGATCTTGGTGAGCGTGCTGGCTATGACGGACGCCAAGAAGAAGTCACCCTTGAGCAACAACTCTCGCAAGTTCGGGAGAACTGGAATCGCCTTCGACGCCGTGAAAGCCGCTTGAGTCGCGTATGTACCATCCGCCAACACTGTGGGGCGAGCTACTGGTTCAACCACGTCGTCACCATCGGCTTCAGCATCCTTGGCGGTGACCTCAACGAGGGGCGCCGGGCCCATGCTCATGCGAATGACTTCGAGAGCCGCGTCCACTTCCTGTTCAGACTTGGTAAACTCCCCGATGATCCAAAGTGTCGTCGCGCACACTCGACTGCTACGAATCGTGGAGAACAGGTCGAGCAAATGCTCGATGATTCCAGGTCGCAGTGCTTTGTTCGTGAACGCGATTTCGCGCACAAAGTATGCAACATCCGCAGAGCTCGCGCTGTTGGCATCGCTCAAGAAATCCATCAGCAAGTAAATGACCGAGCCCGAAACCTCCGGGAATTTGAGCGCGCACTTATGAATCGCCTGCACAAGCATTTGTCGGTACTCTCCTGTCTCCGGCGTGCTTTCACCTTGGGACTTGATGACCTCCGTCTTCAACATGCTTGTTACGTCGTCGATGTTTCGAGGAGTGATCAAGTCTAGCACCAAGTCGATCGTCTTGCGCTTGATGTCGATATTCGGCGACGAAACCGCCCGCAAGATGTCCATCACCATCCCTTGGAGCATCTCTCTGTAAGATTTCTTAAGACCGATCAAGCGATCAAGCACGATGAGCTTGACGTTGTTATCGCTCTGGCTCACGAGCAACTGGCAGTAGCAGTTCGCCGCCGCCTTGATCGCGGTCGGCGCGTTCGAAAGCGCCACGAGCGTGTTCGCACACTCGTACACGACCGACGCGTTGTTCGTACCGAGCAACATCAGGATGATCTTGATGTACTTGCCCTTTTGCGTGGGATCCGAGCGACAAACCTTGCGAATCAGGTCCAACACCACCGTCTGCATGATGTCCCCCCAAGAGGACACTGTCTCCAGGTTGCTCATCAAATAGTTCACCGCGCGATCCTGAGCGTGCGTGTATAACATCAAGAACGCGTTTCTCTTCGTCCCGAGATCGTTCTCCCCGCTCATCAGAAAAGATTCGATGATCTCCGGCGCGTCTGGGATCAAGTGCTCGCCCTCTGGTAGGGCATAAATTTTATTGATCGCCATCACCGCGTTCCTCCGCACGTACGGATGCCTGTGCTCGAGGTTCTGCACTATGGAAGGGATCAACGGCTCGAGTAAATCGTGTTCGGTGATCCTGCACAAAAATCTCAACGTGCACCCGCGTAAGAACTCGTTCGGATGCTGCAAGTTGTTTCGCAAGTTTTGACACAGCAAGATCATCTCCGGTAAGATCTTCCCATCCGGCCCGCACTTCTCGATCATCTCCATGTACAGCAACAACAGCTTCTGCACCGTGTGATCGTCGCTCGGCAGGACGTATCGCACGATCGTGATGAACATTTGCGGCATCGACTCCCCTCCCAACAGGAGTGAGATCACCTTACGCATGGCGTCCGCCTTCTCCTCGGGCGTGCCCGTCTCCAACGCCTCTCGCAGCTCCGCCGCGCTCGTCGCTCGGTCGAAGTGCACGAGCATGGAGCATCCGCGCTCGACGACCTGGTTCACGGTCGCCATCGCGCTCGGCGTCGTCGACGAGCGGTGGCGACGCGACGGGGAATCAACGACTCTGGGTCCGGATCGCCGTACCCTAGGTGTGTTGGACCACTGACGGGGTTTCGTCTCGTGGGTGCCGCGATTAGCCCCGTCGCGCGCGACCGTCGTCCCACGGCGCACTTCACGCCGCGTTCGTCCTCGCCCGCGACGTGGACGCGCCGCGGCGTGTTCCTTCGACCTCGTCGTCGAGCGCGCGCGCCGAGCGCGAGGCGCGGTGCGCGGTGACGGAAGGGATTTCTTTCAAACGCGCGAGAGACAGCTCGCGCGCCGCGACCGATCGAACGCGCGCGCTTTGACCATGGACGCGGTTCTGGAGTACGTCACCGGGATGAATCGTCCGCTGAACGCGACGAACGTGGGCGACGCCATGGGGGCGCGAGGGGTGAAGAAGGGGCTGGCGCAGAAGTATCTCGATAATCTGGCGGAGGGCGGGCGATTGGCGTTCAAGGAGAGCTCGGGGAAGACGACGCAAAAGGTGTACTATCCGATACAGGACGGCGAGGTGATGAGCGCGGAGGAATTGAAGATGCTGAACGAACGCACGAAGACGACGATGGCGGAGGCGGGGGTGGTGCACGACGCGGTGAAGGCGTTGCGCGCGCAGTTGCAGTCGCTCAAGGAGGCGTCGAGCGTGGAGGACATGGAGAAAGAGTTGAAGGCGCTCGAGGCGGAGAACGAAGCGTCGCAGAGCAAGCTCGGTCCGTTGAGAGAGCGAAGTGCGAACGGTGACGTCATCACGGAAAGTGATCGGGTGAAGATCGAGGACGCTTTCTTGAAGGCCATGGAGTATTGGCTCTCAAGACGAAAGGCGTTTAATAACGTTTTTGAGGCCGTCCTCGAGGGCACCGGAGGCGTGAAGAAAAAGCTGTGGGAAGAGCTTGGCTGCGAGAACGAGGAGGATGTAAGCATCGATTACGCGAAATATAGGAAGATTTACGACGATTTGAAGCGCCAGCGTCTGATTGAGATGCGGCAAAAGCGTTTCAAGAGATGACTGACTGCTCATCGAGACGACGAAACGTGAAAGTGTTTGTATGAAATTGAAACGAACTTTTTCCAACGCACTTGGATGATCATCACATAATCGAGTTAGGGCTAATAGAGAATGCGATCACGGACATTTGCGCAGAACCAAGTTCGCCCCATGCTCCTCGTACTCCTGTTTACTCATCCAGAGTTGTTGGAACGAACCGAGCGAGGCAAGAATGGAACCTCCGATCCACGTCGAGAAGCGCCGCTCGACGCTATTCATGCTCGCCACAACTTTGGTTTTGACATTTTGAGGCGCGTGGTCGAATAGAGCACCATCCAGACGCTCGCGCATGTTGGTAAACATGCTGCCACCCCCGCATAAGACGAGGTTACCCCACAAATCCTTTCGCACGTCGACATCGGAATTGTTGATGCACTCCAGGACCAACTCTTGAATGCTCTTCAATTTGACATCACCGCTGAGACTCGGGACGTTGACGTCGAGATCTTTCAATATATCCGGTTGGAATAAGAGCTCAGGGATTTGGAACCTCTCGGCGCCAACCTCGATTGTGTTACCATCCGGTAACTCATACGTGATCCCCGCCACATTCTTATGCTCATCTCCTCTGAAGAAGTGGTCATTCAGTTGATAGACGGTCGCCTTGAGGTCCTCCACGATTTCTCTACGCTTAAAAAGAGAGTAAGACGCTGACGTCTTCGGATGATTCACCGCTTTCACGGTGAACTCACCGTCGCCCTTCTCCTTCTTGGTGAAGGCGTACCGCGGTCTAACTTCTACCTTTTGTTTCTCTAATCGGGCCAAAATAACGTCTGTGAGCGCCTCGCCGCCGAGGGGAGATCGCGTGACGGACTTTTGCAACGCGTAACCTTCATGAACGGCGGTAACCGTGGTGTTTCGGCCGCCAATGTCGATGACCAAGCTCGACGCCTTGCCGACGGCGAACGAGCTCAGCACCGGATTCTTCGCCAAAAACAGCGCCGGTGGCGCGTACTTCTCGAACATTAACTCGACCATCTTCGATCGAACCCCGTCCGAGTTATGCACCGGCTCGCTCATGAGAACCGGATGCTCATCTGTCTGAATCGTCAAGCACTTCTTCAACGCGTGCTCCCAAATTCCCTCCACCGCCTCCCAGTCCTCAAGCATACCATTTTCCCCGTACGGCGACGTCACGTCGACCTCGTCGCGTCTGATCCCCATGCTATCGACGAAAATGTCCCTCGAGCTCTGACTCCCACCCTCGGTCATGTCCACGTCGCCGCCTTTCGCCCGCGCGCCGACTGAGCTCGTAAACACGTGTTGCGGCGTATCCTGTCCCGCGTACCCAGCCTTGACGCTGTGTGTACCTAGGTCCAGGACCACCGCGCTCACTTCATCGCCCCCGTACATGTCGTGCGATTCTCACCGTGCGCGCGAAGCTCGCTTTGGGGCCGATCGAGACGTGAGTGGGACAAATTTCCAAGCTCAATTCGGACCGACGATCTCCGATCGCGTTCGCGTGCGCGTTCGAGCGCGCGCGTTCGAGCGCTCCTCCCGTCGTGAGCGTTCGCGTCAAGTCGTTCGCGCGCGCGCGGGCGAATCACGCGACGAACGACGACGCGTCGGCGAACAATGGCGTCGGATCAGCCACAGAGGGTTAGGGACGCGCGCGGAGCGACGAACGGAAGACGCGCGAGCGAAAATGCGTCGACGTGCGCGCCGACTTGAGATTCAAGACGACTGTGACATATTATTTAGAGCATGATACTACGCGATCGATCGCGCGTCGAGGCGCGGGCGCGAGCGCGTTCGCGCGTTCGCGCGTCGACGCGAGAGACGCCGCGCGCTTACTTGGTCGCATCCTTGAGGTACGCGATCAAATCAGCCCGATCTTGTTCCTTCTTGAGACCGGCGAAGACCATCTTCGTGCCCGGAATGTACTTCTTCGGGTTCAACAAATAGTCGTACAGGGTCTCTTCGTTCCACGTCACGCCCTTGTTCTTATTCGCCGCGGAGTACGAGAAACCCTCCGTCGTGCCGGAGACGCGTCCGAACAACCCGCCGAGGTTCGGGCCCTACGAATCCACCGTCCATCGCGCGTCGTCAGTCACCCATCGCGCGTCACCGCATCACATCACGCCATCACCCATCCCAACGCGCTCGTCATCGTCCATCCCGTCCGTCGTCGCCGCCCATCCGTCCCGATCGCCCGTCGTCCGTCGTCCGTCGCGCGCGTCCGCGTCCGCGCACCTGCTTGTGTCCACCACCCTTCTCCGCGACGTGACACTGCGCGCACTTCGTCTTAAAAATCTTCGCCCCTACGATCGGTCGCATCCGCGCGCGCGTCAGTCCCTCGCTCGGCGTCCGTCGTCGACCCATCGCGCGCGATGACGATGGGACGACGCCGGGCGTCGTCGACCCATCGCGCGCGATCGCCGTTCCACGGTCGTCCCATCACCGCGCCGTCGACGTCGACATCGAAGACGCACCCTTGGCGATGTCACCCGCGGGCGCGTCCGCGAACGAGGCCATCGCGCGCGCGTGTGCGCCGTCGCGCGCGCGCGCGGTGGACGTCGACGCGCGATGGCGCTGGCGTCGCGGGGGTGATCTAAACCCTAGACATACTGTTCGCCCACACGACATCCACGCATCCACGCCCCATCCGACGACCGACGCGCGATCGGGCGATCGATGTCGTACGCGCGCCTCTCTGACCTCCATGTGTGATCGCCACCGCGCGCGCATAAAACGTACGCGCGCCGTAAACCCTGGTCGCGCGCGATGCACGATGCGCGACCGCACATCGCGCGCGCCCGTCATGGGCGCCCCCGCCGGGGTCGATAACACCCAGCGACGACGATGGGATCGCGACGTCTACGCCGCGCGCGCGATCGAGCGCGAGGGCGCGGCGACGGCGCGCGAGGGCGAGACGACGCGAGCGATTGGACGGCGCGCGTCGAGGGGGGGGGGGCTGATGATTCGGGACGATTTGCGCCTCGATAACGTCATCGCGCGCGATTACGAACGTGATTTGGCCTCGCGCGTCGGGTCGAGGCAGATCGTGAACGCGGAGACGGGGGCGGGGATGGGATTTCAATGCGCGGAGACTGGGGCGATTTTACACGACTCGAGCGCGTACCTGGACCACATCAACGGGAAGAAACAGATGAAGGCGAGAGGGGTGTCGATGCGGGTCGAGCGGTCGACGGTGGAACAGGTCAAGGCGAAGTTTGATGAGGTGAAGAAGCGGAAGGCGGCGGCGGCGAAGAACGAAGGGAAGGGGTTCGAGGAACGGTTGGCCATCGCGTACGAGGACGAAGACGCGGCGCGGGCGCGGAAAAAGGCGAAGGAGGCGGCGAAAAAGGCGAAGAAGAAGGCGGAGGAGGAGGCGAAGATGGCGGAGCTCGGAGGTTTGGATCCCGAGATGGCAGCCATGATGGGATTCGCGGGATTCGGCGGCGGGAAAAAGTAGGCGCGACGGAGGGCGCCGGCGCGCGCGCCGACGATTTGATTTGTAATACACGAGCTCTAGTGATTTGTACAACGCGCGCGTAACGACGCGATGAGATCACGCAGAACCATCGGTCGATCGGTAAGTATGCCGTCGACGCCGTGATTCAGGGTGCGTCGCATCCGCTCCTCGTCGTTCACCGTCCACACGTGCACGGCCAATCCCGCTCGACGCGCTCGGCGCACCAACGTCGACGAGAGCATCTCGGATTGCACCGCCACCGCGCGCGCGCCTCGCACTCGACCACGACCAATCTTATCGTACCCCTTGTATCGCATCTCGGCGCTAAAATTTGCCACGACGTATCCCACGTTTTCGCCGAGCGCGCGCGTCTCGCGAAGCGTCGCGTCGTCCTTCCCCCA